CCAAGGCCACAGGTTCAGATCCCATATAGGGATGGCCGGTTCACTCACTTGGGAGAGCGTGGTGCTGACAACACCAAGTCAAGGGTTAAGATCCCCTTACCGGTCATCTTTAAAAAAAAAAAAAAAAATTAGAAACGAAAAAGGTGATATTACAACTGACATCTCAGAAATACAAGGACTCATTAGAGCCTACTATAAACAACTATATGCCAACAAATTTGAAAATCTGGAGGAAATGGATAAATTTCTGGATGCCTACATGCTACCAAAACTGAGGCAAGAAGATATAGAAAATCTGAACAGACCAATAACAATAAAAGAGATTGAAGCTGTTATCAGAAGGCTCCCAACAAAGAAAAGCCCAAGACTGGATGGGTTCACTGCAGAGTTCTACCAAACCTTCAAAGGGGAACTGATACCAATTCTCTACAAACTATTCCAAAAGATTGAAACAGAGGCCATTCTCCCAAACTCATTCTATTAGGCAAAAATCACCCTGATAGCAAAACCAGACAAAGATGCATCAAAAATAGAAAACTACAGGCCAATATCTGTGATGAATATAGATGCAAAAATCTTCAATAAAATACTAGCTAACACATACACAAAATTATATATCATGATCAAGTGAGATTTATCCCAGGGATGCAAGGTTGGTTCAACATATGCAAATCAATAAATGTGATACATCACATCAATAAAAGCAAAGACAAAAACCACATGATCATCTCTACTGATGCTGAAAAAGCACTTAACAAAATTCAACATTCTTTCATGATAAAGACTCTCTACAAGTTAGACATAGACAGAAAGTATCACTACATAATTAAAACCACATACGATAAGCCCACTGCCAATATCATCCTGAAAAGCTTTCAGCTTTTCCCTTAAAAACAGGAACTAGATAAGGATGCCCACTCTCACCACTCCTATTCAACAGTGTTGGAAGTACTAGCCAGAGCAATCAGAGAAGAGAAGGAAACAAAGGGCATACAGATTGGAAAGGATAAAGTCAAGTTGTCCCTGTTTGTGGATGATATGTTCCTATATAGTGAACAGCCTAAAGCCTCTGTAAAAAAACTCCTAGAGTTGATAACTTATTTCAGCAAAGTTGCAGGATACCAAATCAATACACAAAAATCAGTAGCATTTCTATACTCCAACAGTGAACATGCAGAAAAAGAAATCAAGAAAGTTAGCCCATTTGCAATAGCCTCCAAAAAAATAAAATACTTAGGAATAAAGCTGACCAAGGATGTGAAAAATCTCTGTAAAGAGAACTACAAATCACTGTTGACAGAAATTAAAGAGAACACAAGAAGATGGAAAGATATCCCATGCTCTTGGATTGGAAGAATTAACATTGTGAAAATGTCCATATTACACAAAGCAATCTACAGATTCAATGTAATCCCCATCAAAATTCCAATGACTTTTTCCTCTGAGATGGAAAAAGCTATCCAGACATTTATATGAAACAACAAAAAACCACGCATAGCCAAAGCAATCCTGAGCAAAAAAAAGTAAAGCTGAAGGCATAACAATACCTGACTTCAAACTATATTACAAAGCTATAATAACCAAAACAGCATGGTACTGGCATAAAAATAGATACACAGATCAATGGAATAGAATAGAGAACCCAGAAATAAATTCATACGCCTACAGCCATCTGATCTTCGACAAGGCAGCATATCTATATACTGGGGAAGAGACTGCCTTTTCAACAAGTGGTGCTAGGAAAACTGGATACTCATATGTAGGAGAATGAAACTAGACCCGTACCTTTTGGTACCATATACCAAAATCAACTCAAAATGGATTAAAGAATTAAATATATATCCTGTAACAATAAAACTCCTTAAAAATAACCATAGGGGAAACACTCCAGGAAGAACAAGTGGGTACAGACTTCATGAATAGGACCCAAAAAGCACAGGCAACTATAGGAAAAATAAACAAATGGGATTATATCAAACCAAAAAGCTTCTGTACAGCAAAAGAAACAATCAACAGAGTAAAAAGACAACCAACAGAGTGGGAGAAAATATTTGCAAAATATACGTCTGACAAAGGATTAATATACAGAATATATAATGAACTCAAACAACTTTACATCAAACAAACAAATAATCCAATTAAAAAATGGGCAAAGGAGCTGAATAGGCATTTCTCAAAGGAAGATATACAAATGGCCAACAGACACATGAAAAAATGCTCAACCTCACTCAGCATCCAGGAAATGCAAATCAAGACCACTTTGAGATACCATCTCACTCCAGTTAGGTTGGCTAACATCCAAAAGACTGAGAATGATAAGTGCTGGAGAGGTTGCGGAGAAATAGGAACTCTCATACACTTTTGGTGGAGCTCCAAAATGGTGCAGACTTTACGGAAAATGGTATGGAGGTTCCTCAAACAATTACAGATAGATCTACCATATGACCCAGCTATTCTACTGTTGGGAATATACTCAGAGGAATGGAAATCATCATGCCAAAGGGATACGTGTACTCCCATGTTTATTGCAGCTCTATTTACAATAGCCAATAGTTGGAACCAGCCCAAAAGTCCATCATTTGATGACTGGAAAAGGCAAATGTGGTATACCTACACAATGGAATACTACTCTACTATAAAAAAGAACATAATACTACCATTCGCAACAACATGGACGCACTTAGAGAAAACTATATTAAGTGAAACAAGTCAGGCACAGAAAGAGAAATACCACATGTTCTCACTTATTTGTGGGAGCTAAAAATAAATAAATAAATAAACACACAAACAAATCAAGGGGTGGCGGGGAAGAAGACAGAATAACCACAAAAATTCCTTGAACTATTTAAGTCAAGTGAACAGATATGATGGGGGGGAGGGAAGGTGTTGAGAGGAATGGGTAAAGGGGCATGAAAATCAACTACAATGTATATTGAGAAGTAAAAGAAAAAGAAAAACAATGCCATTTGCAATAACATCGAAAAGTATACAATAACTTAGGAATAAACTTAACCAAGGAGGTGAAAGATTTGTATACTGGAAACTACAAAAAACAGATGAAAGAAATTAAAGACAACAATATATGGAGAGACATCTTGTGTTCATGACTTGGAAGACTTAATATTGTTAAAATGCCCATACTACCCAAAGTGATCTACAGATTCAGTACAATCCCTATCAAAATCCCAATGACATTTTTAATAGAAATATATGGAATCACAGAAGACCCTGAAGTGCCAAAGCAATCTTGAGAAAGAAGAACACAGGTGGAGGCTTCACAATTCTTGATGTTAAAATATATTACAAAGCTGCAATACTTAAAATAGTATGGCACTGGCATAAAAACAGACATGCATGCCAAGAACACACGACAGAAAAAGGATAGTCCCTTCAACACAGAATGTTGGAAAAACTGAATATTCACATGCAAAAGAATAAAATTGGACCCTCATCTTACACCATACACAAAAATCCATCAAATATATTAAAAATTTAAACATAAGACCAGAAATTATAAAACTCCTATGAGAAAATACATGGGAAAAGCTTCATGACATTTGTTTAGCAATGGCTTTTTTGGGTGTGATACCAAAAGTATAATCGACAAAAGCAAAAATAGACAAGGGAAACCACATTAAATGAAAATATTTCTGCACAGCAAAGGAAACAACAGTGAAGAGATAACCTACAGAATAGGGGGAAATATTTACAAACCATATATCTGATAAGGGGTTATATCCAAAATTCATAAAACTCCTACAACTCAACAGCAAAAACAAAAAAAAAAAATACCCAATAACATGATCTAAAAATTGGGCAAAAGGTTTAAGCAGACATTTCTCCAAAGACATACAAATGGTCAGCAGTTATATGAAAAGATGCTCAGCATCACTAATCACCAGAGAAATGCAAATCACAACCACAATGAGATATTGCTTCACACCTGTGAGGATGGGTATAATCAAAAAACAAAAAATAACAAGTGCTGGTGAGGATGTGAAGAAATGGGAACCCTTGTACACTATTGGTGAGAATGCAAAATGGTGCAGCCACTATGGAAAACAGTTTCCACTATGGAAAATTTTTTCCTCAAAAAATCTGAAAGCAGAACTATCATGTGATCCAGCAATCCCACTTCTGGGTATATTTCAGCTCATAAGAACTGAAATCAGAATCTCTAAAAGATATCTGCACTCTCATGTTAACTGCAGCATTATTCACAATAGCCAATATATGGAAACAACCTAAATGTCCATCAACAGTTGAATGGATAAAGAAAATGGGGTATATACATACAATGAAATATTATTTAGCCTTGAAAAAGAAGAAAATGCTGCTATATGCTAATTGGAGGACACTATGCTAAGTGAAATATGGTGCCAAAGGACAAATACTGCATGAAGAATCTAACAAATGAGTCATAGAAACAGAGAGTATAATGGTGATTACCAAAGGTGGAGAGAGGAGGAAATGGGGAATTGCTGTTCAACAGGTATAAAGATTCAGTTATGCAAGATAATCTAAGTTCTAGAGCTCCACTGTACAACTCTGCCTATAGTTAACAGTACTGTATTACACATTTTAAAATTTAAGAGGACAGATCTCACATTAAGTGTTCTTACCAAAATAAAAATTTAAAACCCAACAATAAAAAAAAAAAATTTAAAGATACATTGCTCAATTTTTCAATAAAATTTTAAAAACTAAACTATGAACTTAGGAGCCAAGTGGACAAGCTAAGAGAGTTTAAAATGAAAACTATACTGCATTAATAAATATGTTATAAAGAACAAAGAGATAAGCAAGACAAAGAAGAGCAAAAATAAAACAAAATTATGTTTAACTTTCTAAATGAGTAAGAAACACTATGTTTTATTTATTGACATGGACAATGGCTATGTATGTCTTCACTTGTGATAACTCATTAAGATTATAATTTGTGATCTTTTCTATAAGAAGGTTATGTGGCAATAAAAAAGTAAAAAAGGACAAGTACATACTCTTTGTTCTGGCATTTGTAGACATGATTAAGAGAAGAATAAACATGAAGAATAGAGACAATGTTTTTCATGTTTAGGGATTCAGGTTTCTCTATTACACTCTTCATAAACAAGTCCAGCAAACCAATAGGTCGAAAGCCAAGGTTCTCAAATAAAATGAGAAGAAAAAGGACCTTAAAAAGAGAGTTGAAAGAAAACTCTTTAATAATTACAGCATTACAGATTAATACTAACAGTAATCTTTCAGATCTCAAAATAAACAGCAATACAACTGTCCTGATCAACAGAATATTCTCTAAAAAGGAACAATTATCTTTTCCTCACAAAATCTGTTCTATTAATTCTTAAATTAGGTAGCAAGTTAATAAGCAACCTCTTTTTATAAGCTGATGACCAGAACATACAATGGTTTCCATATTTCCATTTCATTTAAAAATAAACTCCTTCCTACATGCTTTTTATACAACAGATCTGAAAATTACTTTTAAATATAACTTTTCTGAAGTTTTTGAAAATGACCAACTCAGTCTTGAACTCCTCTCACTACCAAACCTAGACTTCCTAGATTCTAACAAATGAAATAACTCAAAATGTTCTATATTTAATGTTAATTTCTTTTTTTTTTCCTTTTTGTCTTTTTTCGTGACCGGTAACGGGATCACAACCCCCAGTGTTGCGCCCGTACCGCGACCAGCAATGGGATCACAACCCTTGGTGTCGCGCCCGCACCGCACTCAACCAGTGAGCGGACCGGTCTCTATATGGGATCCAAACCCTCGGCGCGCCGCCACACTCCCAAGCGCCGCACTCTACAGAGTGCACCACCGGGCAGGCCCCTTAATGTTCATTTCTATAAGTGAAAATGGACCTGAAATATTATGATCAAAATAAATTTTCTAGTTTACCTTTGATTTCTGTCTGATCTTTCTTACTTAAGATTATTACTTCTCTTTCCAAAATCAATTTCCATATTAAACTCAATATAATGATCTAACATAATTATCATCTACTTCACTTTAAAAAGTTTTTGCCAGCAGCTTCATTTACATGTTTATATTATTAACACAGTCCCTGAATTTAAAAGCTCTTACTCTGGAGGAAATAATGAACATGATCATTAAGTAATGATATTTTATTCTTCAAAAACCATAAGCCTGTCATATTATCCATCTTTATTACTCAAAATCTAACAAGGAAAATGTATAAACACAGAAATAATGCTAAATATCTAACCAAAGTACCATACAACCTTTTGAAAACCAAACAAAACAACAAACTTTGAAAAATATAATTTTTGTTTCAGACAGAAAGATGGTCAAAAGACTCAATAGTATATTAACAAGTAATCTCCAGATAGAAATAATGAGGAGCTAATTTTTCAAAAGTCAGCTTAGCATTGGAATATTTTGGTATCTTAACTGCTAAAAAGGTAAAAGAGAAATACTTAAAATGCTAAATGAGTTAGTATGCTTCTTGAAAGTTTCTGGGGCTTACTGTTAACATACTCACTTGTTTCAACGTCCAGATGTCAAAAGTTGTAGCCACATAATCTGCTATTCCCTTGAAGAGATCTAAATTATGGTATCGTAGGTCTTTGCAGGACTGCAATATGTTGACCATTATCTTAAAAGGACACCCATGGATATTAGCTTTAAGAATGAGTTAAATATATAAAAAATTACCAAATGGTTTTGAATGTAAGATTCAAGATGCTTGATACTTTTTTTTCATATAAGGGCAAAGTTTTAAAACAAACAAAACAAATATAGTCTAAAACAGTAGATCAGATGCTACAAATTATGAGAGAAAAATTCCCCTTACCTATGACCATCTTACTGCATTCATTGAGGAGTATAACAGAACGGTGATTCATGGCAGCTAGAACCTCAAACATTCGCTGGCTATTCAAAACAGAAAATCTGTCTAATTCCCTCAAGGCTTTCATCTAAAGAAAAACAAACTTAAATTTAAGTTATTATTTGTGGCAAAGTAACTTTTATTTTTAAATAGAAAGGATAAGGTTTAAGAAATATAACTCAAATAGATAAATATACAGTATATAATAATATATACAGATAAATATGTCTACTTCGATTAATTCGTCTTAGCAAAACTAAACCCAAAAGCACAGCAATATCCTCCTAAGAAAATGGACTTCAAGAAATGACAGCAGGTCACAAGAATTTTTTTTTTCCAATTTCACCCACTAGAGAAAATTCAGGTATTTACCTCCAGTTTCCTTTTAAAAGCAATTGGTGCATCTTTTCCAATACTTTTCATCATAGTTTGTAACGTAAAGACACGTTCTATTTTCCAAACTTGCTGATCAACTAGTATCCTGTCATCAAACACAATAAATATTACAACATTAAAATCTTCAAATCCGAAGAGAAATCTTAACATTTCATTTAGTCCAGCCCTTATTTCCTATAGGCATTGAATATGAAGCCCACAGAAATGATCTACCCACCCAAGAGAGTGTAAGTAGCTAGTGAAAGATCCAAAACCATGCTAGTACTATTTCCTCTCACCTTACTGTGGTATCTTTATTAATGAACAAATTACTTCAAGAGATTATAGTAAGATGTTCTATGCATAGTCAAAGAAAACGGGAATTAAGTGTTATTCTTACTAACAGATGACATTAGATCAGTTGCACCGATTTTATAAATTCATTTTCGGTTGGGCCAGTGTCATATAACTGTTACATAGTGTCCAAATAAAATAGTTATTGACTATAGAATTGACTATACAAATGAATTGTCCCCCACACAACACATCAGTACTATGTTTTAAGATAAATTAATTTAGAGCTCAATGTTACCCACATCTTTTTTATAATGGACCCTTAAAGAAGTATTATTTCCAGCTTTATCTCATCCAGAGTCAGGATTTTAAGTTTTATAAGGTATTAAAGACTGTAACTACCAACAAACCTTCCCTGCCCACACCCCTCCAACAAGAGCAGTTCAGTTTTCTTCTTAATTTTTTATTCCAGATATGAGAAACAGAGGAAAAATCCACATGAACAATGCATGAGAAGAGTTCTCACCGCAATCCTTCTCGAAGAACATGTACATTCTTGCATGGCTCCATTGCCTCTAAAACAGTTGACAAAACTGAAAGACATCTCTCATCACACTCATTGATACGTTCCTATTGAAATATGATTACAAAAACACTATAGGTGATGATGCCATAGGAGACTACCTTACCCAAGTAAAACTACTGAACTGATGCTTTCAATTAAAGGGTTAAGTATCAAACCAATAATTCATAATTATTCCATGCTACGGGTTAAATGTGTCCCCAAAAGATTCATGATTGGAAACTTAATCTTCATTGTAACAGAATTAAGAGGGTGGAAATTCCAATTACGGTAACTGAAAGATGAGGTCTTTTGAAAGGTGATCAGATTGTGAGGACTGTACCCTTGTGAATGAATTAATCCATTGATGGTTTAATGGGTGGTCATGGGTGTAGTTCTGATGGCTTTAAAAGGAGAGCAAGTAAGGAAGTTAGCTCTCTCTTGCTCAGCCATTCACCACATGACACCCTGCATCACTACAGAGTCGCCACCAAAGAAGGCCCTCACCAGATGTGTTCCCCAGGCTTTGGACTTCCCAGCCTCCAAACTGTAAGAAATCAATTTCATTTTTCTGTAAATTACCCAGTTTCAGGTATTCTGTTACAAGCAACAGAAAAAGGATGAATACAGTCCACAAAACAGCATCTTTGGGAGGTAAGATATTATACTTAAGTGAATTTTCCAAATAACTGATATGCACCCCTTTATATATCAACACTTTTTACATTCACCATTATCATTGAAAATCTATTCTTTCAGGTCCTTCTAGTTAGGTTACTAATTTAAAATCCAGAAATGGTAGTGGGCATAGTTTGGAAAGTGAATAGTAACACAGCTTATCTAGTACTCTATAATTTAATCACTACTAGTCTATATACCACACAAGAGTAGTTGTGATCACATCTGAGGAAACTTAAGCTGAAAGAGGTATGCTCTTTTGCTAAAATTACATAGCTAACCAGTCACAAAGTCTCGAGTCAGAACCACATAATGACAAGAAATGAAGAAGGCTAGAGGAAAGAAAGAAAAAAAAAGGGATTAATTCCCATGGGAGTATTTCCTCAACAATTTTCAGCATCCTATCAAATATCTGCTATGAAAGGAAAGACCACTTGGCTGCATGTTTGAAGGCAAATCCATTGACAGCACACTGTCCTTTCGTCTCTAACTAAAATGTTCTTTAGACATTCCAACAGGTGAGATCAAACACACTCACAGATATTTTGACTCCAAATATCCACTGCTCATACCTCACCAATGCAGATGCTCTGCTAGTGTGAATACCTGTCCAAAATCTACTAAGCCATCACTGACCAGGTCAGGTGACTTATTACAATTACTTTTAAATAACTACATTGGGAACTAACACACAGTCTACCAAATAAACATGGATAGTCTGTGGTTTAAACAAACACACACACACACGTAATAAAAATTAGTTCTTGGTGGAAGACATACGGAAATCACAGTAATGTAAAAAGTTAAAGTTAAAAACTCTCATATACCTATGAGCTCAATTCTTGAATTCTATAGTAAGACAAGATATACGTCAGATTACCCCCAGGAAATTCCTGTCTTTGAAAAAATTATTTAATCATGCTCATTGAGTTTAGAAGTCTGAGGTGTCCACTCTTAAAACGTAAATGATTTAACAAGCTAATCATTCCTTCCTCACATCTGGCATCAATTCAGTGACATCAAGCTGGACACCAAAACCTTTATTTTAAACTAAAAATAGCTCCCTCTATCCAATTTCATCCTTCTTCCAATCCATTTTCCACTCATTCAGTGATCTAAAATACAAATTTGAGCATGTCAACCCTTTACTTAAAATCACTTAATGGATTCCCATTACCTACAGGATAAATAGAAATTCCTTAGCCTGGCCTAAAAGGCTCCTTATGATTCAAGCCATATTTTTCCAGCCTCATGTCCTGACCTAAGGGCCTTACCCTTTCCTCCCCCTCCCCATGACCACCATATGCACACTTCTTCCTCCCCACTGCTTTAAACACACAACCCTATCATTCTGTACATCAGCCACACCAAACTTTCAGCTGTACTTTCAGCTCCCCAAACTTGCCAGACTTTTATTCTGGGAGGCTAAGGCAGGTGTTTCTTCTCTGATTGAAACACCATGCCCTTCACTGTCAATCCTTTCACAAACTGAGTCATACTTGGACTCAGACATCATCTCCTCCTGGCCTTGAATCCCAATTCTGCTGTGGACTAGGTGTTCATTCAATCAGCAAATATTTATTAAGTACCTACAAATAGTGATATTAACAGATATATAACCACAAGCAAGTTATTTAACCTTTCTAAGCCTGTTTCCTACTCAGGAAGATGAGATTAACAATACCTATTTTAAAAGGCTATACTGAAGAACACGAGGCAACTCTGTATTCAAACTTTGTATATATTTCTGCTTCAAATACTGACCTTGTATCATCCTTCCTCATTTCCTCTTCTCGTCATGAAAGCAACTAGGTTGGAAGCCCCTATTATACATTGTCATAACGCACTTTTCACAACTGTATTCCCTAGTGTTCTGCCCAGTGCCTATATAGGATTCATTAAATAAATGTTGGTTATTATTTTTGTAGTTGCCTTCAAATATATGTCTTCCCCTCTAGATTATAAGCTTCCTAAGTGCAGGAACCATGTCTTGTATATCTTTATATCCCTATTAACAAGTGCAGTAACTGGTACATAGTTGACATCCAATGTTTATTGCATAAATAAATGAATTGACTAACTATGTGACCTTAGCTATGTTCACTGCATAAATAAATGAATCAACTAGCTATGTGACCGGTTTCCTCATAGGCGAAACTAAGGTAATATCGACATTGTAGGACTGTTGGGAGGACTAAATAAGATTATGTATGTAAAAGGCATAGATACTCAATGAATATTAGTTCCCTTCCCTTCCCTCTCTCCTTCCTTCAACTACCCAGACTTTCTTTGTATATCTTGCATTTCTCCTCATTTGAGCTTCTTCATTACTACTTGATCCTGGAACAGGCAAATGGGACAAGCTTTCATAAATTTCCATAGCAAAATGAAGAAAAAACCAAGTTAACAGTTAACTTAAGGTCTCTAAATCATAAAATACATATGCGGAAATAAATATAAAGGAAATTACATCCATTTGATAGCTTCTTTTAAGGAAGCTACATATCTATTTCCCCTCATTCTTTCAAGACATCCTAAACCAAGTAAAAGCATATTTAAGTCTCCTTTTAATTTTACCTGGATCACCCTCAGCAAACTCTGTACCAGAAGAGTGTTCTGAGGGATTCCAAGCTTCACGATAGCGTGAAGACTGAACAACAGGTGGTCACAGTGCATAATCTTGGCTTCTCTCATCATATGTTCACACAGCTGGTTAAACGCAGGGTGGTTAAACATCAGTTGTTTTTCAAAGTGCTTCTGGTCATCAGACATCCTTTTGGCAATGATCCACATTGCTGAGAAATAGTTACTACTAGGAAAGGTAGGAGCTTTTGAAAATGTATCTAACACATCACTCAGGGAATTACACTCCTGAGACAGTTTTCTATAGCTGATAGGGAGTGGTTTTGTTTTCTTGGTGAGAACATCTTCATTGGAGACCTCATGATCAAATTTTACTTTCTCCAATCCACTATCAGATGTAGCAACAGAGACAAGAGAATGTTTTGTGTCAAAGGACAATTGTCTAAGGCAAAGTAATCTGTCAACTCTAAGAACTGCTACAGTGCTCATGCCCTTTGTTTGAAAGGCATCATCTCCTGATTTAAAAACGAATGCATCCTGAAAGAGATGTCTAATAGATGAATGCATTCTGTTATCAAAATCATTTAAGGGAAGGTTTCTTAGGTTCCAGTTTGAATAAACAATTTTGGGTCTGCAAAACCCCACAGAATATAGCCTCACAGTTCTGCTTGTTGGAACTGAAGTACTGAATCGTCTGAGGTTCCATAAAAAGGAACTTGCTTTGTTATTCATTTTTGCTATCCACTTGAATCACTTCCAAATGGTTTTAAAGTTGTCAATATGAAACAAACATCACTCCTGCTAGTGAAAAAGAACACACGCTGTTGTTTTCCTGTAGAGAAAGGAGTAATGAAAGGAATAAAAAATTAACACTTTTACTTAAAGAAATGAAATGCACTTAACAAAAGCGAAAATGGAAGCCTACGGGGCCATTAATATTTTACATTAATGCAGTAAAATTATTTAACCAGTATGAGCTTCCTCCACTTCTACCGCAATGTGTACACTGTTTTAAAGAAGCCAAGAGTACTGTGGAATCAGTCGTTGTATAAATGAAAAAAAAAAAAAAACGTAAGCGGACTTTTGGTGTAAAAGTGTTCCATAAAGCTTCCTCTGAAGGAGGGATTTTTGTTAGCACTGACTTGGAATGAAAATAAGGGGTTTAACACTGGTGGATAATATTCAAAGTGAGGCTTTAGCAACAGCCGAACCTGGACTAATAAAGGACAGAGACTTGGACAGGTAAAACGGCTCAGGAGAATTAGAAGAAAACGAAAGCGAGGTTTGCACGTGGCCCGCGCTTGGGAGGAAGGTACATTCAGCTAGCCTCAACAGACCCCCAAACCGGTGTCAAAAGCCTGTCCTTCCGCAGGTGGGCCACCCAGCATTAATCCACCTCCCTAAACTCAATGCCGGGGCGACTCCTGAGACCTTTCTATGCATGATAAAAAGTCTAGGCTGTAACACTGCCAATCGCTCCGTCCTGCACTCACCTTAGAGCCGAACCCTGCGGCTCTATGCAGGCGCAGCCATGACAGTTTCCCCGAGAGCCGCGTGTATCGCGAGATCTTACGGATGCCTTCACAGATCAAAAAGTGTACGTTCTCAGTGGTTGCAGAATGATTTATTTAGAAAGAAGAAAACCTGCCGAGGAGAATGACTAATTTTCTTGGATGCAGGCATAGAGACGGAGGAGATCAGAGAGTTTATAATGGTAGTGTATTATCGTGTACCGCAACGTAAGCCATTCAAAACACAACTTTGAACACCTAATCTCGCCTGCTTGGCTCCTGTTTCAGAGAAGTCCTGCGTTACGCCCTTGGCGGTGTAGTTGCTAGGAAACCGCGACGCCGCGGTCCCTGCCTCTGGGTCTCGCTTGACTATGGCCAAATTCGTGATCGCCGGTGAGTGATCCCCGCGTCCGCCCGCAGATCGCCCTAAACACCAACAGCGCCCATGGTCGCTCGGGCAGTGGTCTTCCTAACTGGCTTCTATTCTAGCAGTTCCGGCCTCTGTGAGGACCACCCCACGCTTTCTTAAGCATTCATTCAAAGATATTTAGTGGACAGTGACCACGTGCCAAGCACTGCCGGTCGCTGTGGAGACAGTGAAGGGAAGCTTCCTTCCAGGAGCTTTCAGTCTCATGGGGTACAGAAGCATTTAATGAAGCACTTTTGATACAGTGTGATTAATGCAAATGAGAGTCTTGCATAGGACTCTGGGAGCATAAACCCGTGACCTGGGTGTGTGGGTGAGAGAGAGGTGGACACAAGAAACTCGCTAGGGGAGGTGTTACAGGAGCTGAATTGTGACGGTTTGGGATAGAGAGGCCAGTCCTGATGAACTCACAGAGGCTAGAAGCCCTGTGGCCTAATGGAGAATCTGGGTATGAGGGGAGTGACAGAACCTGGGGTTAGAACAGGAGTAGGAGCCAGATTCTTGCACTCCACCTGCACCAAGAAAAGATGTTTGAAATCTATTTTAAAGCCATGAGGAGTCACTGAAATGTTTTGAGCAGAAGAGTGGTCTGGATGGGTTTGCATTTTAGGAAGCCCACCTTGGCAGCCATGGAGGGGAAGGATTGGAAACCATGTGACAGGCAACAAGGAAACCACTGAGGAGGCTTTTATTGCAACAGTGTATTGTACCTTCCTTTTCCCCTTCTCAGCAAGTTGCTTCAAAGAGTGCGCTGCTCTTCCATCTTCTTCATTCCACTCAATCTGCCTTCTACTTCTGCCTCCTTACAGAAATTATCCTCACCAAAGCCAACAATGACTTTTACAGAAGCTGTTCAGTCCTTGTAATATCTGACCTCTCTGATGCATTGAACACAATTGACATCTACCATCTACCTAAAAATCCTTTTCTTCGCTTCTTTATTCATACAGAAGAATATTTTTGAGCACTGATTAACCGTATGCTGGGAAGAGAGTGGAAAACAAATTTACAGAGAATGTTGCATGTGTGACAGTGGCAGGGCAGGGTTCTATAGAAAGAGCAGATTTGGGAAGGGAAGATTTGGTAAGGGAAGTTATCCCAGACTCTTCACTCTCCCTCTCCCACAACTCCCTGCCACACATATCAAATCCTAATGTGATTTTACCACCACTCTTCACTTCACACTTTACCTGTTAGTAACTACTAAAGAGCAGTTCATTGTTAGTAGTTCATGCTTACTTAGTTATAGTCGGCAGCCGCCTAGAGGAAGTGGGGTCTAGCATAGTACTAGACAAGGGTAAGTATTCAATAGTTTTATTCCTTTCCACATTTTATTACTTAAGATTCTGACCTCCTATGAAATTTATTTTTGTCAATATAATAAAAATCAGAAGTTTATTTCATGTCAGTTTATACTATAACAGTGTTATAAAATTATATCAACTGTGATTAATTATGTAATCATGTGGCAAATACTTATAACTACATGATAATTTCAGTGTGTTGAAAAAATGGCTAATTTGAACTCTTTTAGGTAGAGCAAATTGTCCATATTATGCTAAAGCAGAACTTCTGGCAGACTATTTACAAAAGAATCTTCCTGATTTTCGGATACATAAAATTACACAACGTCCCGAGGTTTGGGAGGTAAGAAGCCTTTACGTTTTGTTGAACTTACATATGCACAGAAATACGTTTTAGTTTGACTAACTATTAGCTAATGTATTATGTTAGCTTCCAGTAATGAATGTTCATGTGCTAATGATACTACTAATGAATGTTCATGTACTAATGAATACTATTAAAAAGAATCCCTACTTATCAGTATCAAAACATTATTTATATATTTTTCCTAATACCAAGTAGAATAAATGATACCTTAACCAGAATAAATAGACCCTAAGTAAAATAGGTTTTAGTGCTCCACCCCCACCCCAAGAATCCAGAAATCACTTGTTAACTTTTCATTCTCGTTTGTACTGATTTTTGTTTAATGCTATACCAAATAATATCTTCCTGTTTCATGGAAAACACTATTTGTATGGAAAAAGTACAGGAGAGGGCAACAAAAGACATTTCTCTTCCTTTTTAAGACACTAATAGGTGTGCCAGGCCAATGGTTATCACTGCTTTGTTCTCTGCGTGTGAATAGCTTTAATGAAAGCTGGCATCAGCTGAGTGTAAGTCAGCTTTCCATATTAACTTTTTCCCTTTATATGTAGACCTTACAGTTCTATAACTGCAAATAAAATTTGTAGTTACAATGCATTTGTCAATTCAGTTTAGGCACAAAGCAACTTCCACAGTGAGTAGAGAGATTGACATAGTCTGCACAAGCGACTTGCTACTTGCAACAAAATATATTGCAAACCTCTCATGGGCTAACTTTCTATATGATGAGCTTCCTATCTTCACTTCTGATGGAAGTGTTGACCAGTTGCTTTGATTGTAGGATTACATTTGAGTTTCTTGCTTCAAGCGATTTGTTTTTTCTTCTCCCTCCTGTCAGGTTTGTGTCTTCAGATAATCTGAGTTGTGCAAGTCCTTATGAGGAGAGCTCACTTTCTGTCTAGCCTACTGATAACTCTGGAACTGGCTCATGTTTACGTATGACTCATATAGGGTTGCTAGTTTTAGTAAGCCCAGGATGGGTTCCCAGCTGTGTGGTTGGCTCTGCCAATATTGCAGAAACTTTTTCTTTTTCCCTCCTCTTATGTCAGGCTGCTTTGAGGTTAAGGCATCTTTCTCTGACTTGCTGTTCTAGACTAAGGAGGACTGCTTCCACCTCGTGAAGAATAAGGAGTTTTGTTTGGGGTTTTTCACTCTTCAAATGAAGCCAACACATTTGGCCAAGCTTTTTGAATGCCTCATTAATATCCCACACATGCAAGCATTCTCTGGCATTGTTGGCCATCCACCTTTCCTTCTCCCTTAATATCTTCTGTTCTGGGTTCAAATCCTCATCTCCATTAGTACCGCTTATTCTGCCTCTAGATGAAACCTTGATATCTTTTTGGGAGGATTCATCATCTGATTTCATGTCATCTGATGAAGGAGGTTCATGAGGGTTTTCATCTTTCTCTCCGTTTTCAGTCTTCATTTCTGTTGGAACGACAGATCCAGACTGACCTTGCAAACCACCTCTATAATTTTCTTGTGTTTTACGGTTCAGGTCTGTGCTCGAAGCAGTGACTATGCTAGACAGAACTGAATGATTGCCATATGAGTTTCAATGGAGGATTGTTTAGACATATGAGTTTTAATAGCAATCATTCAGTTCTGTCTAGTACAGCCACAGCTTCAAGCACAGACCTAAACCATACAACACAAGAAAATTATAGAGGTGGGTGGTTTGCAAGGTCAGTCTGGATCTGTTGTTCCAACAGAAATCAAGACTGAAAACAAAGAGAAAAATGAAAACCCTCATGAACCTCCTTCACCAGATGACATGAAATCAGGTGGAACCCTCCCAGCTATTCCACTGCTGGGTATATACCCAGAGGAATGGAAATCATCATGTCAAATGGATACCTGCACTGCCATGTTTATTGCAGCACTATTTACAATAGCCAAGAGTTGGAACCAGCCAAAATGTCCATCATCAGATGAGTGGATAAGGAAATTGTGGTATATTTACACAATGGGATACTACTCTGCTATTAAAAAAAAAAAAATGAACTACCATTCAGACCAACATGGATGGACTTAGAGAAAATTATTATAACTGAAATAAGCCAAGTACAGAAAGAGAAATACCACATGTCCTCACTTATTTGTGGGAGCAAAAAATAAATAAGCAAATAAACATACAAACAAATAAATGGGGTGGGGGGAAGAAGACTCACAATCACAACGATTCCTTAAACTTTTTAAGACAAGTGAATAGATATGATGTTGAGTGGGGGGAGAGGGGAGAAAGGAGGAACTGGTAAAGGGACATGAAAATCAACTACATTGTGTATTGATAAATTAAAATAAATTTTTTTAAAAAGAAAAAAGAAACCAATGGTCTTCCTGATGAGTTCCAACCACTGAAGCCGATTGCTTGTAGCAAGTCTTGATCCTCCTCCTTAGTTTGAATTGAGGCTTCCAACTGATGGTTTATGGAATGGTCCCCATAAACTGTGTGTATCATTGTGACCAGTAGCAAACTGGTGGAAGGTCCCACAGCATAGTTTCACAACACATGGATAGCATCATCGAACCTATCTAAATGATCCTCCATTTGAAACTGCTCATAGACATCCTTTAAGAAGGACATTGCACCTGCACTCCCATGTTTATTGCAGCTCTATTTACAGTAGCCAAGATTTGAAACCAACCCAAATGTCCATTGACAGATGACTGGATAAGGAAAGTGTGGTATATATACTCAATGGAATACTACTTTGCCATAAAAAAGAATGAAATTCTGCCATTTGCAGCAACATGGGTGAACTTAGAAAAAATTATGTTAAGTGAAATGAGCCAGGCACAGAAAGAGAAATACTGCATGTCTTCACTCATAAGTGGGAGCTAAAAGGAAGGAAGGAAGGAAGGAAGGAAGGAAGGAAGGAAGGAAGGAAGGAAGGAAGATAGAGTCCCAATAATACATTGAACTTGCAAAAAAAAAGAAAAGAGAACAGAACTGTGGTTATTAGAGGTGGGGGGGAGGGGGTTAGTGAGAAATTCATTAAGGGTCACAAAGATTGATTGTATTTTGTAATCATGAGTATACTAATTACCCTGATTTGATCACCATATATTGTACACATGTATTGATATTCAAATCTGTACCCCACAAATACATATAATCAATTATGTTTCAACAAAAAAAACTGTCCAAAAAAAAAAGGACATTGTGGGGTTGACCAGTTAGCTCAGTTGGTTAGCGTGTGAACTTGGTAACACTAGGGTCTAGGGTTCCATTCCTGTACCAGCCAAGAGCCGAGAGAGAGAAAGAACATTGCATCTTGCAAATGTTCATGAAGTTGCTGCTCAACTTGGCTTCTCAGAGAGTGGAGTGAATTTCCATAGGTTTAGGATAAAGGATCTTGCCCTCTAGGTCTGGGCCTCTGACTGGTTCCTGTGAGAGTCAAAGGTCCTCCAACTGGTATTGATAGATTTGATGGAAAACTACTGCTGGTGTGGTCAGGAGAATAAATACATGTGAAAACATTTCCAACTGCATCGCCTGTCTGTGAGCTTCCAGCAATATTCCCTCTGGTTCCTTGCATAAAGAAAGTGCTAGCAAACATACTGGTTGGTGGCTTAGGAGATGGATAACTAGAGATTCACAGTTGAAATCATCTGAATTTGGGGAAGGTGCGTATACAGAAGAAGGCAAACCAGGAGGCACCTTTCTGTCTTTCTCTGCTTGCAAAGGATCAAGTGCTGCAGAGTCATGGAGTGGACTTCTTCTGGACCTTGTGGCAGAGAATGAATAGTATGGTGCCCCATGTTTTCCCGAGGAAGACAGCTGTGCTAGGCTCCTGTAGTGGATTGAATTATGTCTCCCCAAAACTCCCTGAAGCTTGAGTTGTGTCCCCCAAGTTTTATGTATTAGGAACTTAGCCTTCACTGTGACTGTTAAGAGGGTGAGAAATCCTATTATGGTCATTGTAAGGTGGGGCCTTGAAGAAGTGATTGGGTTGTAGGATCCTGCAGTAATGAATGGATTAAAAAATCGAGGTCAGGGCCGAGCCCGTGGCGCACTCGGGAGAGTGCGGTGCTGGGAGCGCAGCAGCGCTCCCGCTGCGGGTTCGGATCCTATATAGGGATGACCGGTGGGCTCACAGCACTCACTGGCTGAGCGCAGTGCGGCCAGTCTCAAAACAAAACAAACAAACAAAAAAAATCAAGGTCGGGGGCGTGGTTCTGAGGGCTTCAAAAGAGGAGGAGAGTCTGTCTGTTGCTCTCTCTGCTTCTACCATCTCGCAATGTGAGACCCCTGGGTCACTGTCACCACCATCAGGTGGACTTTGGACTTCCCAGCCTCAGAAACTGTAAGCAATAAATTTCATTTTCTTTATAAATCACCCAGTTCCGTGTAATCTGTTATAAGCAATACAAATGGACTAATACAGCTCCCAAGTCCTAGATATTGTCTCAGAAGACTAGATTGACAGGCTGCTGTGCAGAGAAAATGAGCCTCTCTCTGACATTTTTCCCATCAGATTTAAGTTCATGGAAGGTTTGCGGGACAAGCCTTTGTGGGCCCCTAATCAACCATCATTTAAGTGATCACTGTAATGAGGGCTGTCTGTAAAACCTCTAGATGAATCATAGGAGGGTCTTGGTTGACCACTTTTTCCCCAAGATGTCATACTTGCTTGTTCATCCATACAGCTTTGGAGGCTGGGAAGTCCACAGTCCAGGGGAATCATCTGGTGAGGGCCTTCTTTTGGGAGGGAACTCTAGAGAGTCCCATGGTGACCAGGTATCTTATGGTTAGAATCTCCTTCATACTGATATCCAATGACATGAAGGACTTGTTTATTTGAAATACCCTTCTTTGGGACTGTGTTTCCCCAGAAACAGACTTTGAGATAGAGATTTTGGTGAAGGGGCTCTACTGGGAAGTGCTCTTGGAAACAACATCCTGAGAAAAAATGAGGGCAGCAGGATTGGGCAAAGGGAGAAGTCGAACTGTGATTCATCTGCAACAGAGGACTCCTGCAGGGAACTCTGAAGCTGGGATGGCCTTTCAGATATATCCCACGTTAAGGCAAGGGAGCTGAGCTTTTGTACTCCCACATCAACCAGTCATTGGATGTAAGCTGCCTCTGCAGAAGAAACTTAACCTAAAGCATTGTAGCTTTCTTGGGCTGAGGTCAATTCTTTAAGAGAGATTTAGCCCAGAGCTATCAGCAGCCAATACACCTGCTGTCTGAGGGAATGAGTGCCTCGGTTATGGGAGGGAATCTGGACTAGACATGACAGCATCTGCTACAGTCCACCCGTTGTGCCTTGTGGATCCACATGCTCCATGTAATAAGTTTTCACCATCTGGGAACAGTTTCTCCAGGATTCTGGTTGGCATTTTTCCCTGGGGAAACTTTACAAGAGGAAGGTTAGTCAAATGAACTTCAGTCTCCACAGCACATAGTTTCAAGGCCAACTGATACTCATCACCTCTCTTTTCTACTGTCCATTGCAGATTCCCCTCACCCTCTGCTGGTCTGGGTGACCTATTAGGTGTGGTGACCTATATCTGCATTTTTAAGAGATCTGAGCCCTAGTTTCTATTTTCTTTTCTGAATGTGACTCGTGCTCTTGTCCATTTACTATCAGAATTGAGCAGGGTGGTACCAAAGATGCCCCAATGGATAACCTAGATGTTAAATGTTCTTTCTTGGCCACATCAAGCTTCTCTACATGCTCCTGATCATCAGGGCCTATTGCCCCTTCCAGAATGGGAACTCCTTTCCTTGCCTGCTGGTCTCTTGGCAAAGGAGCTCAAAGTGACCAAGTGGTAGCCATAGCTTAAATTTTAATGTGACTCTTCCTGTGTCCTCTGGTAGAAGCACTCCCTCTCTGAGATTTAGAGTCTCCAGACCCACAGAGTCTAGAGTAGAGGGGTTTGGGGAAGCATAAATTCCCCAAGTGGGTCACTCTTAATTCCACCCCTTGGTTCCCAGATTCATGTTTTCTACCTATTGTGGTGGAACATTATATTGATTTAAGATGTATATCGCATCCAGAAGGTGCCCCATCTTTGCAAGGTATTAGTCTCCAAGCTGGTGCCTGTACCTTCAGTAGAATGTTTTACTCCTCTGTCAGGGTGGGTGATGTGTATGATAGAGCCAGTGGATCTCCTGGTTTTGTTCCCAGTGCCAAACCTCCTTTGTTCTAAAGTGGATCTCTTGGTTCAAACTGACATTATGCATTATCCTGTGTTGATAGGTTAAACATTTTCTAAGTTCTTGGACAAGGACACTGGCCAAAGCCCTACAAGTAAGAATAGCAATACTTTACCCCAAATATTCTTTACTCCTGTTCCAAATCAAAATGAATCAATGCCCTTTAAAGGGTAGAAGAGGTCCAATGTAACCAACTTGCCACCAAGAGGGTGGTTGGTGTCTTTGAGGGATAGTGTCATTATCAGGGGGCCATCACTGGCCTCTGTTGCCAGTACATTAGCCATTTAGCAGCAGCAATAGCTAGATAAGCTTTGAGTAGGGGTAGCCCATTCTCTTGGGCTGTTACACAGCCTCTGTCTCTTTCATGAGCCCTTTGTGCCTGCAGCTGCCTAAGTTATTTCATCTGCGGGTTGTTTAGTGCTTCTTTTGCAATAGATGGTCTCTGGTGGACACTGCCCCCAGCCTCTATTATTTCAGAATTTTATCATCCCATTTGCCAGGGAATCCAGCTCTATAACAGCATGTCCTTTAACAGCCCTGGCCTAGAATGGATAGCCTCACCAGGTTCTCAGTGACACTGGGACCCCCCCTCCCCCCACCTTTTGAGTGCATTGCTTATCACTTTGGTGAATGTAGTGTCTTCCATGCCCTTCCATAGAACAGGGTAGACTAGTGGGCTTTTCAGCCTTCCATAGTACCATATCCACCAGCCTTTTGATCCCTTACTCCATGTCTTTTATGGCAGTTCTGGCATTTTTATTTTATTAATGTGAATCATCACTTTCTCCAAGCTTCCAAGAGCCCATCTGGCAACACCTTATCACTATCTTCTGAGGTTTCTGCTAGGGTATACACTCCTGAACTGCAGAAGAGTGATTCATACTGATAAATTCTCCTTTGTTCAGCTTTACATTTCACTCTTGATTCAGCATTGTCAGGGTTCAGTCCTACACATGTTCTCCCAGCAACATGTTCTGCTTACTGCTGAAGGAAAGGGTAAAGTCCCTTTCATCCATAAGCCCCTCACTTCACTGGTCAGGCCATGCTGAGACTAGGGGGACATGGTGGAATCCTCGCAGCCCCACCGTTTGCTGTAAGGTAGCGAGATCTTCAACATCAGCAAAGGAAATTAGTTTCTAGGATTTCATTTCTAAGGTAGCCTCATTACACATCTCCAATGAGATGGCTTTAAGGCTGCTGCCATGTACTTTTTTTTCCCCCATCAAATTTAGCAGTGGGGTGTTATATACCAACACTAGTGACATTAATGCTAATAATGCTACCATGTACTTTACAGATAAGAGTGTTGCTCTCAGTCTCTACTTAGATCTTGTCACTGGAAGACATGGTCTACACAAAACAGATAATGATAATTTAAACTTTTTCTGATAAATACTATCAAAAATCCCCAGATAATTTTTAGCTCACTAATTCAGTCTGAACTGTATAAACCATACCCACAGATTTGAAAAGCAATATCAAATTTAATATGGCCCTAAGACTGGAAATATCTCATATATAAGAAGAATAAGAGGAAAATCAGTTGAATTTTTTTTTTAAATCACTCAAATTGGAATACCTCGCCTCTCTTTAAGATAAACACTTGTACTCCAGGTCTCCTCAGCAAAAAGAGCCACTTGCAGTGCCTTAGGTTGGTCAATGAATTTGAAGGATATTTTTTCTTATTTTATTAACTTGTTACTTAACTCATCACTCTTTTCTATATTTACATTTTATTGTTTAAAGATATCTAAATTGTGGGCTGGCCCGGTGGTGCACTGCTACAGTGCGCCGCTTGGGAGCGCGGCGGCGCTCCTGCCCAGGGTTCGGATCCCACATACAGACCGGTTCCCGCTCACTGGCTGAGCGAGGTGCAGGCGCGGCACCGAGGGTTGCGATCCCGTTGCTGGTCCTGGTCCGGTACGGGCGCGACACTGAGGGTTGCGATCCGTTGCCAGACACGAAAAAAGACAAAAAAAAAAAAAAAAAGATATCTAAATTGTATTATACATAAGGACATTAAAAACAAGCTAGCATTTTAGTTTTAATTCTAAAGTATTGAATTGAATTCTCAGGCAGATTTAATACATGTCTTCACTTGGAATATCATTCAATAGGAGTGGCTGAATGATGTCTGTGAAAAAAATAAGTGGAGTCAGAAAAATTCCCCCATCATCTGGAGAGAGCTGTTGGATCGTGGAGGGAAGTGTTTGCTTTTGGGAGGATATAATGAGTTCCTGGAGCATGCTCAGGTACATAAATTAAGTTGACTTATCTGTTCAAAAAAACTATCATTCTCTTACATTATTTTATTTTTCAAATGTCTTGCTTTCTGAGACATTCTCTCATCTCTCTTTTTATTCTGTTTTGACTTTAAACAAAAACTTTCCATTATAGCTATTTTCAGCTAATTATCTATTCTCCGATGTTGGCTTTTCCTTTCCCAATATTTAGCTTTACTATAATGTCACCTCCAGCATGACGACTCAGCAGATGATGGTCATTGCTCAAGAGAACCTGGGGGCACATATAGAAAACGAGCTGCAGGAAGAAGCCCTGAAAGGTTTCATCCACCCCTTGCAGGTCTGGATCACCAGGTGGGACAGTCAAACCCCAGGATTCATGAGATTGGCTTTTTATATTTAGAAAGGAAAAGAGATTGGATTAATTCCATGAGGGAAAAGTACCTGAACGTTGCATTTGAGATTTGTGTGTATATGTAGACATATGTATAGGTGTGTGTGTGGGGTGTGTGTGTGTGTGTGTGTATTTTCCAACATAACCCATGTATGAGTTTTAGACTGTACACACACACACACACACACACATTTAATCTAAGATCAACTTTATAGCATGGCCGCTTTGCCTGACTTGCCCTCTCTGACAGGTGCTCTCTCCTCTTTCCCACTCACTAGAGTTCCTGGGCTCTCCCTCACCTCATGCACACACACTCTCTCAGGAACTCTCCCCTCACCTTGCTCTTTCTTACTTTCCTCCTTCTCCCATTTGCTCCTCATTTCCCCCATCTGGGGCACGTGCAGTCTCTGCACTCTCTCTCTTTTTCTCTCTTGTGTTCTCTCTCCCTACCCCCCCCATTCCCGACTCCTCAGTCTCTCTCACACTGTCCTCACCACACATGTGTCTATCCTAATATATGCCCTCATTTTAAAAATTATTTATTATTATGAAATATTTCAAATACAGAAAAGAATTGAGAATGAGATAATAAACCTCCATGACCTTATCACTCAGATTTAATAAATATCACATCTTCTTTAGACATTCTTCAAAGGATTAAAATGATACAGATACTGTTGAAACCCCCATTGTACACCTCCCCAGACCCACTGTGAATACTAGAAATGCCCATATGCATTTCTGAACTCTCCACAGGGGGTCATTACAGCTCAAAGTCAATAATCACAGCCATAAAGTACCCAGATAGTTGCTAAATTGTGGCTACAGACAAACCATACATAGCTTGTGTGGATCTTTGCCATCTTTGTAAGGATTTTTCTTTGTAAGAATTTGGAGAAGATAGTCCTCTCCAAAAAATGTCATTACTTAGAAGATAAGGGAAGAAAATTTTAAAAGAGCTATGGTTAACTGAAATTTATGTCTTTATCTTTTCAAGAGGAAATGTAAACATAATTAGAATTATATGATACAGATCTTTGAAATTTTGCTTTCTGCATATGGGGAATTCTAGTTTATTTGAAAACCTAATAAACAGGTGCATTTCTTATTTTTGGAATTGTTTTCATATGGCCAGAGTAAGGGGTTAGTAGTGAGAATTTTTTGTTCTACTTTTTATTTCTAGCCTTAAAACTGTTTATGTAGCTGTGTGCATGCCTATATAAATATTAAATCACCCTATTAACGCACATGCAGGCACATCTATTAGGAACAGAGGATTAAAATGGGCAAAGGATCTAACCATTCACAACCGGCCTTTGCACTTTTATCAGTGCAGCTACTCCTGCCTGCTACAACCTAATTCCCATATTGACAAGCGGTGAAGTGTTTGGGATGCATACAGAAATCAGCATCACTCTGTTTGACAGCAAGCAGGTGGAAGAACACCTCAAAAACCTTGTGATGGAAACCCAGGACCTGGCGTCGCCCGTCCTCCGCAGCGTCTCCATCTGCACGAACGTGGAAGAGGCCTTCCGTCAGGCCCACGTTGTCGTCATTCTCGATGACACCACCGAGCAGGAGGTGCACACGCTGGAAGACTGCCTTCGTCGCAGGGTGCCTCTGTGCAGGCTCTATGGAGGCCTGATCGAGAAAAATGCTCATGCCTCTGTCAGAGTGATTGTGGGAGGAAAAACCTTTGTGAATCTGAAAACCATTCTGCTTATGACATATGCCCCAAACGTCGCACACAATATTATCGCTGTGGCGCTGGGGGTGGAAGGTGAAGCAAAAGCTGCACTGGCCAGAAAATTGAAGACATCCCCCTCATGTGAGTGAACTCCTGTGTTAGTTTATGTTTTTGTTTTGAAACAACATGATTTCAAAGCAGCTAGGAAGAGCACTGAATCCTCTAGGATCATTCTGGATATCTGGAATAGAAAGAGGAAATGGATACAAAGAACTTCTTATAGTAAGATTTGACTACTGTGCAAACATTTTTTTACTGGCTTTCATGACTAACTCTGTCCTTCATTATAAAAATGAATAAACAGATATTTACTATAAGATCTATATTATTCAAGTAATAATTTGAAACCTAATATTCTTAATATTTGAGACCTCGAATTCCTAATATTCTATGATAATAGTCAGTTAGGGTAATCAGTGTTGTCTTTTTAAAAAATCTGTTTGAAAAGGGCTGTATTGAAGTCATTCTACCCCACTTCCCCACCTGTGTGACCTTGATCAACCATTTAATCTTGCTGTGCCTCAGTTTCCTCATTTGTGAAATGAGGATGTTAACAGTACCTACCTCCTAGAATTGATGTAAGTATTCAATGAGATAATATTTCTGAAGTACTTACAAGAATACCTGGCACATGGTAAACATGTGCAAGGATATAAAACTTATCAGTAGGATTATGATATCTGATCACTTTCTGCTCCTGTTAATCTTTGAACTGGTAGATGTCAGAATCATAGAAAGGTGAGACAGTAAGAATAAGGATTGTATTTAAAAAGAGAGATCACATGTGATATATTTTAGCTATTTGTGCCCTTAGATGGAGCTGGTGCAATGGCATCCATTGAGAATGGAAGGAGGGCAAGGCATTCTCTCTTGCAAAATTGGGAAGACAATGGAATGTGAGCCTTAGAACATGCTAAATCAGGGCAATAAAGAACTCCAGTGAGCCTAACATTATAGCCAGAGTTGTATTATTCATTTCTTTACAAGGTAGTCCTAGAAATAATAATTTTTGGTATTCTGGCATACATATTTTAGTGTCTTACCCCCAAGGTCAGTACAAAACTCAACCAAATTGATACCAGAAGTATGCAACAGGAAATGAAAACATTTTCTAATCATTTTATCTCTATCATCAACCTTATAATTATATACAGATATAATTACATGTATGGACACTGACATCACAAAAGGTCACTGATATGCTGATGAAGTGTCAAGAAGAGGCAGTGATACAAAATTTAAAACAAAGTGGGGGTCCAAAGGAATTTCAACCAGAAAGGTGCTCTCTTGAGGGTCTGCTAGTGCCATAACTCTAAGCTCCACTGTACTCAAAGTCAATAAGCAAGTGAGAAGCAGTAAAAAGAAAAAGAGAAGAAAGTTGGGAAAAGGGAAGAGAGACATTAGAGGGACAGTAGTCAAAGTAGAATTATCAGTGGAGCAGCAAGGAGAAACTCAGCAACAGCAAAATCACCCAGGAAATCATTCAGGGATCATTCCAGATGCCAAGAGGATAGCAAACCTTTTCAGAAAAGCAAGGCTCAGGATATCCCCTAAGTTCAGCTCGCACATAACCTTGTTTCTCAGAACATGTGTATTGGCTGAGCTGCAGCTTCTTCTGTTGCAAGTGATAGAAAGTCAACTCAAGGTGACTGAGTGCAGATAGAGAACTTTTTTCTCACACAACAAAGTACAGGAGGCAGTTCTTATTTCAGGCATAGCTGGTTGCTGGGGCTCAAGTGATGACATCAAACTTGCTTGTGCTCTGTCCTGGCCTGTCCCTCAGCTCTGCTTTCTGCAGTGTTGTTTTATTCTCAGGAAGGCTCTGTGAGTAGCAAAATGGCCACTGGCATCCCCAGATTCATGCTCATAGCTTACCACCCCCCCCCACCCCCCACCACCCCGTAGAAAGAGGGCTTTCTTTTCCAAGTGTTTGTGCAAAAGAATAAACTCATTGGTCAGGCTTGGACCACACGCCCATCTCCAAGTCACACATTGTGGTCAGGGGGGTGGAATCTGGGTCTTGTGCCTATTGGTGCCCTACGGGGTAAGGATAGCTCCACCCAAACCATATTGGCTGAAATTGGAGAAGGGGTAGTTATTTATAAAAACAACCAGTATGCTGTTAAGAAAAAAAGAAAGAAAGAAAGAAAGGAAAAGAAAAAGTGGAAGAGACACTGGGAGGGGAAAAAAAAAAAAACAACAGTGGACATCCACTATATTTTTCTATAGAATGGTTTAGGGTATTTAGAGCTACAAAGGTCCTCAAAGCCAATAAGAAAAGTGAGACCCAGTGAGATGAAAAGACTTCTTTAGACTATAGGCAGGAAGCCTACCATGTGCTTCCCTGGGGCTGGAGTATTATTTTTCCCACCTGGGATCCCATGAGCTCCCAGCCCTAACCATCTCCACATGTCCCTCCTATGGCATGCAGCTATTGGAGGGACCCAAGTGCACATAACTAGCTCTCTTAAGAGTCAGGTGGTGGGGAGAGAACTAGCTGCTCCTGCTTCACGAGTCACTTTGATGAGGGAGAGAATCTCAGAGGATGATGATAGACCATGATGGTTGACCACCCAAGATCTGTTTCCCACACTCTTCTCCCCCCAGCCTGTCTCCTGCTGTACAGGTTCAAACAGTCGCTCATTTTCTGAACTCCTCTTGCAGTCAGGGACTGGCTGAGTAATGTGATCTACTTGGGGTCCCCTGGGAAGGATATTTCACCCCTTGAAAAAAGTAAGGCAAAAGAGGAAGCCTCTGCCCGTTCTTTTCCCTGCTGCCTACCTTTGAACACAACTGGGAGAGTGTGACACTTGGAGCTGCTGCAGCCGTTTTAGGACCATGAGGGGAAGGCTAAGAGAACACTTCTTTGAGCTTCTGAACCAGCACATGTCACTGCCTGTCTTGACTTATTATCTGAGATAAGTAAACTCCTTGTAGTTAAACCAAGTCAGTAAGATATTATGTTACTTGAAGCAAAAACCAATCTTACCTCATACAGAATAGGAAAGAATTTAACTCCACAATAGGAAGGGGTATGGCCTTATAATTAAATTTTTAAGCAAATAAATAAGTTAATAAGTAAATAAATAGAATTACTGTACTTATTGTCACTTTGCATATAATGTTTCTAGAAAATTCACAATTTTTATTAAATGCCAATTCTTATTTCTCTCTAACCCTCATCCTCTTACATTTCTTCTCAGCACGCATCACTTTGCACAGTAGTTCTTTCCTCACCCACCTCCCTCCATCCCCAGAATGTTGTAAGAATTTGCACTGGTTGGTTTTCTGCCAAACACAGTAAGTAGAAGTGCCTCACAGATAGAATATAATTCATAACTATTTGTTGACCTAGATATTCCCCAGGGTCCTCTTATCACAACACTCTCATTTCACAGGAGATTTAACCCACCCAGTTAACTAATTTGCCCAAATTTCTATTTCAGTCTAGAATCCAAGATGCCTTTGCAAAATCAAAGTAGATAAAAAGTTCTTTCTCGCTCTCTCTCAACCTTTCTCTTTCTCTTAATGGCAAGCAGAGTAATGAAGTTCGGACCAACCCCAGTGATATAATTTTTAAAAAAAAAAAAAAAGAGTAATTCCTTTCAGGGAACATTTCATTATTCCTTGAATTTAATTATGTACCCATAGCAGTCACAGGACAGTATTAGGGGCTGCCAAATCCTGATGATCAGGGAGGTGATCCACACCTTTTGCACAGTTTTAGGGAGTGTAAACTCAGACTCATTTTATAGCAAAAGGACCAATCTTAAACGCGCAAACAAAATATAGGCTTCAGGGTTTTTTTTATAATAATGTGCATTATTATGGATTTTATTTCTATTCCTAATAGGCATCAAAGATGTGATAATTTGGGGAAATATCACTGGAAATAACTACATTGATCTGAGAAAAGCAAGGATTTACAGATATGATAGTGCCATTTGGGGACCTCTTCACTATTCACGCCCTGTCTTAAACTTGATTTTTGATAGGTATGGTATATTTTTAAGTGAAGTATCCTAACAATGTTAAATAAATGCATAATAGTTGTTGTAGTCTTTTAAATCATCTTATAAATCTTTGTACAAAAATAACTTGCATTGTTTACACTCATGTTTGTTCATGCTCTTTATCAGAGAAACAGAAAATTCCACAGAATATCAGCTTATCAATCCTCGCCCCCAATTTATTTGATTTTGAAGTTATCCATTTTTAAATTTCAGATTACCTTTAAAGAAGCTCATACATTCCATTAAGTTTATTTCTCAAGCAAGTTTGTACAAAGGGAATCTTATTTAACCTAAAGACAGAGGTATGTCTCCAAGTCGAAATTAGTTGAAACATTTTGAGAAAGAAGAGTTAAGATGACCAGCAGGCCCAGGCCATGCTGGGTGTTCTGTCCCAGGTGAGGCAGAATGAGGAGGTAGTGAGGGGCACAGTCCTAGGACTGAGCCACCTGGGTTGAAATCCTCACTTGGCCACTTTTTAGCTATGTGACTTTAGAGAAGTTACTTAACCTCTCTGTGTCTCAGTTTCTTCATCGGCAAAGTGGAAATGGTAACACTGTATGGGCCTTACAGGGTTGCTGGGAAGATGAAATGGATTGATTCAGGTAAGACACTTTGAGCTGTGCCTGCCACAATGAACACCAGCATTATGATGAGGCAGAGGAAGAGAAATGGGCAGCGGTGCCTTCGAAGCATTTTTCTAAATTTGTATCACTTTCCCAGTTGTAGCATTTCCTTTCCATAGCTCCTTGCCTTCTTTCTTTTTCTCAGGCCACCGGGACTTCATCCATGCCTGGGACTGATGGATCCCTGGAGCATGATACCCCGTGCTTGCTGCCTGGGCAGGGCCAGTGTCGCATGGAGCTGTGCCATGCTGGCCTCACAGGGGTGCCCTTCACCACTTGCTCTAGTCCAGCCAGGATGTTCCCTAAGTTTAAACTTCAGATCATAAAAAGAGTTATTCCCTAATTCCCAACGTGAATAATGCAATGCTTTATGAAACTTTTTTACTTAAAATGAAGGATATCACTGATTCCACGAGAGCATCTACATAGAATAAATTCTTTGTAAGGAAAGTAATTGTTTCTGCAGTCTTTGACCACTTTTCTGAGTCCCACATTCACATTGTCATGTTTTTACTTTGAAATTTGGGGGCTTCTATCTGCTACATTTCATTATTTTTCAATCGACTCTTTATGGGGAGTGAAGACACTTGAAGGGGCAATGAAGTCATATGCTATTTTGATTGTGGATGTGATTCCTTGTGCTTAGTTCATCCTTTTTTATTTCCATCCCTCACTCCATTGTAAAATCACTTCTCTCCTTTCAGTGAGTGGTTAAAAAGAGAATTTGTGGAAACTCTTAAAAAGTTGACCGGCACTGGAAGACAATTTGGAGGCATTCTGGCTGCACACAGTATAGCCACTACATTGAAATACTGGTACCATGGCTCACCACCTGGGGAGATTGTGTCTTTAGGAGTACTCAGTGAAGGTAAATCTAAGTTTTTTGTATCCTGTAATGTTTAAAAACCTCCATGTATGCCTTAGGCTCCTAATTCTGTATTTCTACCTGTCTAGCTCTTAGCACGGCCTATAAAGCTGTCTGGACTTTTACAATTTCATAATCATTCCTTTGGTTATTCATTCAGAAATTCAACAATATTTTGTATGAATGTACTGGGAATACACATAGAAATTAGACCTGGCCTCTGCCTTCAGGAAACCTACAGTAGAGTAGAGAAGAACCGGATACATAAATAAAATAGTCTTGTTAGGTTTTCCTCACTGTTCCCAGCTGAGAGAGGGAAGGTGCGATCAGTTCTAGGCAGGTAGCAAGAAGAATCAGGACGGGCTCCATACAGGAGGGCAATCCAGGAAGTCTTAAAAGATGGGTAGTGTTGACCAGAAGACAAGTGTGGGAAGAACCCTGGGCACAGGGAGCCGCAGGAGCAAAGGCACAGAGGCAGGACACAAAGGGGCACATCAGGACCCAGGTCTCAGAGTCCCAGGCAGCACTGGGGGTGTGGTAAGATGGCTCTCCATCCATAAACACCATATGTAAATTCGTACAGCCTTAATGTATTCATCTGCCAAAAACTATTGCGAAGACTTCTACCATTGTTACTTCTACCATTGTTACAAAACAGGAAAGAGAACAGCTGGTAGTCTGTAGGTTCTGTCTAAAGTATCTCTTCCCCCTGTGTTCTACTATCTTCTTTAGCAGCCTTACTCACTCCCAAAGCTTCAGGCCTGGGCCTCTCTGCTGAGCTCTAGCCTGCAAAACATTGCCACCTGCATGTTCATGCTGTCACTTCAAACCAGCATACACCAAACTGAACTTTGTGCCTTCCTTCCCAATCTGACCCACCTCTTGTATTCCTTATGTTATTAGTGGAACCACCATCTTCCCCGTTGTTCCAGTGACTCTGGTGCAGCTCTAGGAAATGTCCCCAAATCCCCCACGTCAGAATGAATCTCTGTTTCTTCTCTATACTTACATAGCATTTTATTCCTGTATCAGACAGCGTGTTGTAGCCGGCCTTTTTTTGGTAGTATGGTTAGTGGCATATGTCCCCTTCATTTGCACGTGTATACCCTGAGGGCAGCAGCTCTGTCTGAGTCATCTTTCTGCACCTTTTGTGGGAGCAGCATTTTATATGGTAGATGCTCAGTGCATCTTGGTCAATTGAAGTTAAGGTGCATGAACATTACCCATAGTGTGAATTCAAATCAGTATGTTACCTTTTTAGGGACATAGGTATTTTAAACCTTATCTTTATTTGCAGAAAGAAAGTTTAATTAATCTCTGTAGGAATTTTATTGAAAAATAAACAATGCAATGCTGGGAGGAGGGGGAGAAGTGATCATTGCCTGTCTCCCTGAAACTATTCCATATGGGTAAATCCTCATACACTGTCTGCCCACAAGGCTAGCTCTTCACAGATAAAACAAATACAGAATGAACAGAGGACCTGGGAAGCCCTCTAAGGCAAAGTGTTCTAGATCCTGGTTTCTTGATTGTCCTCAATGTTTTGCTCTACTGACAATATTTGTGGTGTCTAGAATGGCAAGAATAATTTTCTTATTTGATTGAAGCACCAGAAAAGGGGTCAATTTTATCTGAGTGGTGCTCAGTTAGTAATAAATATTATCAGTCTTTTTATTTAGAATACATCTAAATGAGGAAGTGGGAACTGCAAGGAAATAACCAACTTCCCTGCCCCCTTTCTGTCCCTTTCCAATGCCTTTATGCCCAGTGACTGTCATAGTAGGCTACAAGAGCTGGGGATCAGATTGGGCAAATAACTTAGGCTCGTGCGCTACATAAGGGGGTCAAGGAAAGCAATGGGAGGCAGACAACAGAAATACAGACAAAGCATGGAAGAAGAAGCCTGCATCAGCCCGTGCATGTGAGACATACAGAAGGGAAAACTGTGTGAACTTGAATAGGTGCTCAATCATTACTTCTAAAGTGAGTGCTTCAGTCCTCCCTGAAGAGGAATCCCAAAAATTTAGTTCCACCATTGTCATTACAAATCGTGTATAATGTCTGTCCCTTTCTAGAATGCTCAACAGGAAGGGTTAATTTTTCTGAATTCTTTTGTTTTTCTTTGTGTTTGCCTACTGCAGGCCAGTTTGGTATTCCTGAAGGGATTGTCTTTTCTATGCCTGTGAAATTTGAGAATGGAACTTGGGTGGTTCGTACAGACCTCGAAGATATTGAAATAAGTGAAAAAATAATGACCAGAATGACAAGTGATTTAATTCAGGTAATATCAGAATAGATACAAAGGAACTGACTTTAATAATGACCTTAAACTGATTCTCCTTGGCCAAGGCATGCACTGGCTTTTTGTGGGTTCAATTTGCATGTATTCCTAAAAGTAATGAAGCAATAAAAGTTTGAAGAAATCAATGGAATACTAGTCATTTGGTTATATAATTTCTGGCATGTTAAACATATTTGTTTGTTGTTTTAAGATTAAGGATCAAAATATTTTCCTATTAAAGAATAATTAAGTTAGTAATTGTGGTCATTTAATTCTCTGATTATGAAATGTTTCAACAGGAGAAACTTGTTGCACTTGGAGACATGATAAATTTTCATCCATACCAATCAGGTAATCTCTTAGATGTAATGTTTTATTGGGCTGCTATTAAAAGTGTATTAAAATTTTTTTATAACTGAATCATGATTGATATAGATAACTCTAATCATATTTTATAACTTTTAAACTAAATTATAAGCAAAATAAGTTGCCAAGTTCAGTGTGTCCTGTGTCCTTTGAAAGAAAACATCCCATAGAATACTAAAAAAAAAAATCATATCTTAACTGAGGCCACCAGAGGTGGGGGTTAGCAAGAAAATTATTATATTGGGCAATGCTGAATGTACTAATTATCCTGATTTGAGCATCACATATTGCACATAGGTATTGATATTCAATGCTGTGCCCCACAGATATGTACAATCAATTATGTTTCAATAAACAATTTTTTTTCAATTTGAAAAAAAGAAATTGGGGCTGACCCCGTGGTGCACTCGGGAGAGTGCGGTGCTGGGAGCGCAGCGGCGCTCCCGCCGCAGGTTCAGATCCTATATAGGGATGGCCGGTTTGCTCACTGGCTGAGCGCAGTGCGAGCAACACCAAGCCAAGGGTTGCAATCCCCTTACCGGTCACAAAAAAGGACAAAAAAAAAAATTAAAAAAAGAAAAGAAAAGAAAAAAAGAAATCACATTAAGATGTGTTTTTAAGAAACACTATGATCTTATAAATTTTGTGTATACCATGTTTATTAGTTTCCTAGGGCTACCATAACAATTTACCCCAAATTGGGTGGCTTAAAACAACAGAGGTGTGTTTGCTCACAGCTCAGGAGACTAGAAGACCTAGATCAAGGTGTCAGACGGGACGTGCTCCCTCTGAATGCTTTAGGGAAGAGTTCTCCCTTGCTTCTCCTAGCATCTGGTGGCATCGCTTGGCATCCTTGGTTTGTAGCAGCATCACTCCAATCTCCACCTCCTTCTTCACACGTCTGTCTCCCACCTGTGTGTGTCTATATTTCCAAATCTCCCTCTCATTATAAGGACACCAATCATGGCACTTAGGGCCCACCCTAATCCAGTATGACTAGATCTGGTAAGACTCTATTTCCAAATAAGGTCACATTCACAGGTGCCGGAAGTTAGAACTTCAGCATGTCTTTTGGGGAACACAATTCAACCCACAACACCATATTTACTTTTAGATAGCTATATTAAAAACAATACGTTTCAGTAAGCCCATTTTTCTTGTTGGCATTTTCTCTAATCATAAACTCATAAGGAAATACTGTCATCTTTCTTTCCTTTGCTTTAAAGAAAATCCCATCTTCAATATGGAAGTAGACAAGAAATAAATGAATTCATTTATGAAAAGAACTTTAATCAAGCCTTTTGAAGCCCAATATTTCCTCCTTCCACTATATTTATACCGACTATAGCCAGTGCTAGGAGCTGGAGATACCGTGGTGAATAAGGTAGACCTGATCTTGCCCTCTTGAAAACTGCAGTTCATCAAGGGGCCACGCATTATACAGATGACTGCACTTGCGGTGTGTCTGAGGACCAAGAGGTTCACGGTGCTGGGCTGTGAGAGCTTGTGGCTGGGGGTAGAGAGAAGGACTTGAGGCAGGAGAGCATATGTTAACTTGTACGGAAAAATTGCAAAAACAGGTTATGTGCCTGAAGCCTAAAGAGATGAGGCTGAGAGACAAAGCCATGGGGAATAGATGCAAGAGGCATCAGATGGAGAGAGACCTCGTAGGTTTGTGATTAGTTTGAAAAACAGACAGGGACAAAGCAAGACTGTTTGCAGAGAGACTGGTATTAGGAGGGTGGAGCAGTGACACAAGGAAGAGATGGTTACAGCTGAGACTAGAGGCGCAGAAATTCCAGAGATATTTAGGAGGTGGAATTATCAAGACCTGATTGGCTGTGGGGAATCCCAGAGGACTCCAGGTTCTTCTGGCTGAGCGAGTGCTGGATTTACTGATGGGGAAAAATGGTAAAGGAACATTATTTCATTATTTGAGAAAGAGAGAATATGAGAATGTGGGGTGTATATGACTGTGTGTCTGAGTGTGTGTGTATGTGTGCATGTGTGTGTGTGAGTGTGTGTGTGTTGTGTGTGCCTATGTGAGAGAAGAAGTGTGTACATGTGTGTTGGGTGGGAGAGGAGGAGGCATGCTGCCAAAGTGGAGGAAGGATGCATTTAGTTTCTCACATTTGGATTCCAAAATACCTGTGGGATGTCTAAAATGGAACTATCAGACAGAGAACTGCATAATTCCTGGAGCTCAGAAAGATCTGGACTACAGTTTTCAAATTGGAAGTTGTTACCTCTTAAATAGAAATGAAGCCAGGGGCACAATGGAGATTATCTAGGGAGAGTGAGAGGAGAAGGCCTGGAGGAGCTTAGCCTGCAGTGGTAAGTAGAACAGGAGCCAAGGAGCGTGAGAAAGGGTGGTCAGTGAGATACGATGAGCCCCTGAAATCTGAAGTCATGAAACCCTAAAGGCGGAGGTGTTTCAAGAATGAGGCTGGTCTACACCATCAGATGCTGCCAGGGAATCGCTCAAAATGAGGCCTGAAAAGTAGCCAACAGATGCATGACAGAGGCCATTTGTGACTTTGGTGAGAGCAATTTTGTGGAATGGAGAAGGCAGAAATGAGACCAGAGTGGAAGGGAGGATCCTAGCCTTGGGAGCCACAATCTCACTATGGAGCTGGTGTGCTTAGTGCTGTGGGCCCATGGGATGTGTCAGGTGCCATGAAAACAGTGGGAAGGGCCACATGAGGACTTTGACATGATGGAGGGGCTTTCCGGAGGAGGTGGCATCTAAACCACGTCATAACAGGAAAGAAGGATTAGCCAAGGTGGGTGAGGGGTGAATGGGAGGGTTGTTCCATTCAGAATTAACAACATATACAAAGGCACAGAAGTAAGAAGGAGCTTGCAGAGAACTGCCAATTCATTTTATCTGGAAAATAGAGTTTGAGGTAAGGAGTGTCAGGAGTTAGGGAGGTAAACACGGGCCTTGTTAAAACCAGTGAAGGATTTTAGGCAGGAGAGGGACGGGAACAGATTCTCATTTTAGAATGACCGCTCTGTCTGTAATGGGAAGAATGAATTGGAGGCGGAGAGACAAGAATCAGGAAGACCAGTTCTATCGCAGGGAGAGAAATGATGAGAGCCTTAACCAAGCAGTGGCCACAGGATGTAGAGAAGGAGCTGGACTTGAAAGAGATACAATGGACACGACCTGGCCAATCCGAGACAGAGGATAAGAAAGAGCTTAAGGGAGTCAAGAATGCCCCCAATGTCCTTGACATCTGGACATATGGTGCTTTCCCTACTTGAGGGAAAACTTAAACAGTAGGCCATAGACGGGTTGATGTGTGGAGCCATTGATCTCTTGAGCCCTGGAGGCAGAGTCTGGGGCAACTGGAGTCCCAAGGCTGGTTGCCTCTATTATCCTTGTCATTTGCTATGTGTACTGAGTCATGAAAATGATTGGGAAGGTGTGGTTAAGGTAAGGAATAGAGGAGAACTTGGGCAGATTTTCAAGAGGCATCTAAGTGAAAGCATCTGGTAGTTGATGGGCACATGTGTCTGGAGCCCAGGAGAGAGATCTGGGGTGGACATGAGGACACAGAGTTGTCAGCAACTGGCACTTATTAGAAGAAACTGATAACCATGGTGACCTCCTGGAGGAGGACCTGAGAGGCTGGGCAGGGAAGACTTCAGCACTGCATGGTCTCTCGTGTCTTGTGGATTTTGTTCTGTGTGCTTGATTCACCTATCCAAAAATAGAAATAGATGTCTTGATGGATGGATGTTCATGTGTAACTACCAGTAAGTAGAGAGGGAGACGGTGAAGTAGAGAGGGGTGAAGAGAAGGGTCCTCAAGACAGCAGTCAACACGAGCTCCAGAGCACAGGCTCAGCTTCAGACTGGAGCACCTCGGCTGCTGCGTCTCGAGGGTTGGGTGGAGGTGATGGGACAGCCGCACGGGAGTGTGTCAGGCTGGGAAGTGCAGGACAAAGAAGGCAGCACAACCTGGTCCTGAGGATCAAAGGCCAGGGGAAGGGCTGCAGTTGTAAGAAAGGAGGTGAAGTGTTGAAATAACTGTTAGGAGGAAGGGAGAGAAACAATGCTGAAAAAGCACTTATTTTTTTTTTTTTAAAAAAAAAGGGCTCAGTGGAAGCTGGACACCATGAATTTGTAGTGACTTCGGTGTACAGTCGTGTGATTCCCTGCAAAGACGCTCAGCTGCCTGGATGCAGGAATGGAAACCTAGATGCAAGATTTGTAGTAAACCCCGAACTATTAGAGTATACTGCACCCCCTGCAGTTAGAACAAATACAATTAGGATAAAAATAACACTACACTGCATTCCAACAAAATTCTGAGTTTTTCCATGATGACTTTATTTGGAATATCAAATAATTTCCAAAAAGTTTATTTTTCTCATATTCGTGTCCTTGCTTTGCTGGTGCCTTAAATAGGTGCTAAGGTGATTTTGGTCATCAGCATTGACTATGAGGATGAAAATGGGTACAGTTTTGTTATTTTATTTAGAATTTAGAAAGAAAGGAGGTGAGACAAAGAAGTTAAGGATAACTGCAAGAAAGCAGTTGAAGTGATAGACCACAGGGTCTAGACTGGATGAAGAAGAAAATAATAACTAGGAATAAAAGAGTCCAGGCAGAGGTCATATTGAAAGTATTTAACAACCAGTATGGTACAGAGTCCAACCAATTAAAACAGTTGCTGCCTTTCAGAATGGGGTATCTGGTGAAAAGAACCTGGCAGGGACCAAGGAGTGTCCTTGGTCTGGACCAGAGAAGGATTAGTGAGGGTGAAGTACAGGCCGTGGCAGGAAGGGCAGGGAGACCTAGAGGAAAAGAGGTTGTGGGCAGAGGGTGGGGTTCTGGCCGATGGTCAGGTCACCAGGAGTGGGCCAAACCTCACAAAGCCCAGAGGTGCTGTGAAGACGGAGGACACAGGCGCAGAGGGATCTGTAGTCTGATGGGCAGCTGGCTTTAACTCAGACTCTTTCATTCTCAGAATTTAGAGGCCCTCTGTCTGGCTTCCTGTGTTTGGCAGACCAGAGCTGCAAATTCCTTTCACTAGAATGGACTACGAAGCAGTCATCCTGAATTTGACTCCACTGACTGGTAGTTAATTGTGAAGTTCCCATATGTACTTGCATTATACAGAGTTTTGTGAAAGAAGATGACCTTGTTTTATGCTGTGTTTTTATTAACAAAGGTCATAGTCTATACATATTTGATTGATCTTGACTCTGTCACTTTTGGACCTTGCCTCAAAAAACACTATTCCAGGGATTCCAAAATCAGAGCATTGAAAATAATCAGAGCTTGGCACCTTCTCACAGTTTGGCGATCTCTGCTTATTAACATACCAGTGAGATGATTTATGTATGAGGTTTTTTTAATCTCTTCAATTAATTTAATACTTAATTTCCTGAGTTATAGAAACCGAAGTAGCCAAAAGAGATGAAAGGATCTCCTTACCCACTGCAGAATACACCCAGGAAGAACAAAGGATCCCAGATGGTAGGTATACTCAATGAAAAAAAAAAAATGCCCTTTTATCCAAGGGTTAAAACTAAATTTTGAAAAAACGAATTTGATCACCCATTAGGCATAAGATGGGAATTAACTCATTTATCACCCTCATCCTATAGTCAAAAATAAGATCATATTTAAAATCTGTTTAAATTTTTGGAAGAGATTACCAGATGTCCATTGAGTACCTTCTATCTGCTGGTTGCTCTGAGAGACATTGGGGACACAGTAAGGAAGTTATGGCCACACAAACTGTCTGGGGGAAAGGAGCCAAAAGAATGTGAAAAGGTAAATGCCAAGGCACACAATGAATTAAAATATTTAGTGAAACAGAGCAAGACAGGTCAAAAGGAAGGAAAGTATACCGTAAGTATGCTAAAAACTCACAAGGAAAGGAAAGACCCTTATAATGTACAAAGGAGAAAATCTAATCATATCTTGAAATCTAGTTGGGACTTCAGACAGATGACTAAAGATAAACAAATGGCCATTTATTTATTCAGAAACTGTGCTAGTTCAGTCATGCAAGAATGAAAAAGTTCTAGAGATCTGTTGTACAACAATGTACATCTATTTAAAAATTTGTTAGGGAGGTAGATTTCATGTTATATATATTTTACCATCATTAAAAAAAAGAAAGTAACTGTGCTTATGTGATAGGGACATAAAAATAAATCAAACACGGTTCCTGCCCTCAAAAGTGCTCACCGCCTCAAAAGTGCTCAGCACCTTGTGAAATAGCAAGCAAAGCAAAGAGAAAATTACCTTATTGAGAGGGGTCTTAGTCTGTTTGTGCTGCTATAACAAAATGCCATAGACCAAGTGGCTTATAAAGAGCAGAAATTTATTTCTCCCAGTTCTGGAGGCTTGGAAGTTCAAGATCAAGGCAGATCCAGTGTAGGGTGAAGGCCTATTTCCTCATTCATAGATGATTCCTTCTCACTGTGTCCTCACATGGTAGACAAGAACACACAAGCTCTCTTGGGCCTATTTTACAAGGGTACTAATCCCATTCATAAGGGCTTCACCCTCATGACCTAATCAACTCCCAAAGGTCCCGCCTCTTGATTTCATCACATTGGGATTTAGATTTCAACATATGAATTTGGGAGGGATGCAAACATCCAGACCCTAGCAAGAAGTAAGTGCTATGATAGAGAGAGGCCACATAGGGAGTCTCCTACCATAGACTGGGAGTGTTAGGAAAGGCTTTCCAGAAGAGATGACATGGGAGCTGGGTCTGGGAGGATGAGTAGGCATTACTCATGTAACTGAGTGAAAAGGAAGTATTCAAATGGAGGGTTGGGTAGGGAGGAGATCGTGAAAGGTGTCCCACCAGAGGGAAAAGAACATGGGCAAAGGAGGCATTTTCGGTGATCAAGTGCGTGACCAGAAATATAAACATGGGGCAATATAAAATTGTATTCAGGAAACAATAACTAGGGTGGGTGGGCTAGAGCATCCACCCTAGTTATATCAAAGAGGATCAGTAAGACTGGGAAGGTAAGTAAGAGCCATCTGTTGCTTGGCTGAGTGGTTATTTAGCAATATGGCCAGTGGGTAGCAGGACAACACATGAAATAGATGGCATCAGTCTTAGAGAACTAATCTGGCTGTATCATGAGCCCTAGAGAGGACTATCATGCAGCCCAAATCACTGTCCAGAGGAGTGTGGTGAACTCAGTCCCAGCCAGCATAGATCTCTGGAGAGGCCCAGTCAGCTAGACAGTGCCTTGAGGCATCTGAGTGGCAGCACCATTATTGCAGTTGGCCCAACTGGTGTTAAGCAACACTTAAGGAAAGGACTGAGGCTACTAAGGCTCTTGTGGGAGAACTGAGAAAGACTGTAGGATCTGCCATGAAGAAGGTGACTGGCACCTTTCCAGGATGCAGAAAGAGAAGCCGAATTGTAGAGTATGTATTCTCAAGACTACCTGCATCATAACGATATAAGTTTCTAATTAAATTTTTAGGTTCTTAGACTCCCCCTACTAAGTCATGATCTTACACAGACTAAGGAACTTTAGTGATAAACAAGTGGAGAAAATGGGTTGATTTCAGGTTGTTTCATGACCATTTGTTGAGTGAACATTACCGTCAAATATTACTTATAATAGTGCTTTCCATATTGTGGAAACAATTTCTATGGAAATAGGTGGGTTTTAAAAAAAATTTTAGCGGGTCATGAAATCAATTTAATAATTAGCATTTTCCCCACTCAATGAACTAGAATAGAATAGCAAGAAAAAGATAAATAGAAAAGAGAAAGAGGTAAGTAAGAATAGATTAGGAAAGGGTAAGAATTATTTCATGTAACTTTTTGCTTTACCTATACGTACACAAGTGCACATGCTGGGCTATAATGTAAAGTGCATTTTTTACTATGGGTCATGGTCAACAAAATTTGAAAAACACTAACTTAGAACTTCTCACAGGTTGTTGGTTCTATTCTAAACCCAACATGTTTTATTTAATTTTGGTTTCAGAACGTAAAGACAGCATGTATTCTGATCTAATCCCAGAAGAAGAAAAAGATCTAATTATGTCTGATGGTGAGTCAATAGCGTTATAAATAATCTCTGCAGTGCTAACAGTCAGGTCTCACAGTGTCCACTCTTATAGAATGGGGTTGTGGGCAGAACGACATAGTCTAGCAACCAAGTAACTTGTAAATAACTTCATTTCTTCTCTTGTACTTTACTAGCTCTTTGAAAGAAGGATAAAAATGTCAACAATTTTTTTAATACTAAAACTGCTCCCATGCCATACTCACCCCATACTCTCCCACTCTGACCTCAGCTCTACCCCTGTGTCTCATCCTCGTCCCCGTTCCCTTTTCTTCTCAATTCTTCATTGCAAAGACAAAACAGCCCATATGGCAAGACCAGATTCTCCTCAGACAGTGGGTGAGAGGCGGAGACTCAGAGACCCAAGTTAGAATTCTCTTTAACAGGAAAACTCTGGGAATTTTTGTGATAAGACACATACATACAATACATACACACATGTATACACATGCGTGTGCACACACACACAGGCACTTCAAAAAGTTTGTGGAAAAATAGAATTAAAAGGTAATATGAATCTTTCCATGACCTTTTTGAAGACCCCTCATGTGTGTATACATATATGTATATGTATATATACACACACACGTAAAATGTGAACACTTGCAAATATTTATGTAGAGGCTTGCTTATTTTCTAAATCTGCCATACAAATCGTATATCAAAAAGTAATGATAATCTAGTCTGTTTCCATTTTTAACACTTTTTTACCTGAAACTCTCTGTATAGAAGGAAGCTGGCAAGCGCTGAGGTATCCTGTGGGGTGCAGGCCCTCATAGGGACGTTCGTAGAAAGATGCTATACAGAGCTGTTTGACGTCTGCTTACTCATATTGCCCACCAGGCCCTGGACAAGCCACTGTCGTGGGTTAAAACTCCATATTAAAGGTGTCTAGCATTTTCGACTCCTAAGAGAGCAAGGCCTACAGAGAAACTTCAAAGGGGAAGCAATAAGATAGGAGAAAGTGAAAATAACTGCAAAAATCAATGTGCTTAGGAAAAGTTGCCAGCTGCTGGCCATAAGTCTTGTTTGACCTGTGTGGTATTGGCACATATAGGATTTACATTTTTTTTTTTTTTCCCACATTGCAAAAACAGCAGAATTTATGTAAAAATCTGAACTAAGCTCCATTTGAAAAACTGAGTTCTCATATATGGAAAAATTTAATTATTCCGCCGCCGCGCTTCCCAAGCGGCACACTATCCAGTGCGCCACCGGGCCGGCCCTAAAACTTATTCTTTTAATTCTCTCTTTGCTGCAGTGGATTCTTTAGATCTGATTCCTCAAGCCGTCTCTGAAAAGCTGCAGAGTCTAGATGCCACAAATGGTAGGTGGTAGACAAAACGTTAACAAATATTTTCTTATTCTACAAATGGAACTAGGAGTAGGGGACCAACTTTCCTTTTGATGTAATTTTTTTCTAACCTTCCCTCTCCCACATCCCCAGTGACTCAGCCTTTCTTGCCCCCCACCCCCGGAACCTACCTTCCCACTTTTATAACCAAGACTGTAACAGTGAGAACCTAATCCTCTCCTCAGTATGAGTAAGTAGGGAAATGGACACAATCGTTATCTGCACAGCCAGATTTCCAAAGTATGTGACTGAGCTGTCCAGATATTTTATGAAAGCAAGGCTGCTGTAGATTTCTTTGTTGGTTGACCAGTCAAGATATTCAGCCAGGCCTCCATGCTTTTATTTAAATGTCCAATAAAATGAACACAATCCAGTGCACCTCCCATTCTGAAAATGTGTAGTACGGTGGGCTTTGGGATGGGACTAACCATGGGGGATTAGCATTGGCGTGTGGAGGAGAAGCAAGGGCAGGCGAGGAAATGGGGCTGATGGCACAGCTGCATCCACAGTTCAGAATGAGGAGCAAAGGAGCCAGGAGGGACTGCACATAGGAATCGCCTAAGGGCAGGAAAGAGCCCAGAGTTCTTTTTGCTACATGAAAACATCTCATGATGGTCTTGTGGTTTTATCTCCCTGTAGATTCCCTCTCACACATGCACTCTCTCAGCTGTTGAATCAGACTGAATGCAGGAATCCAGTAAACAGAAGGAAGAGGGGAAGAGAAGAAAAGCTATGAAAACATAAGCTACTAATGTCTTTTTTAAATAGTTACATCTTTTCATTTTTCTTCTGTTTACAGACCCTGAAGGCAAAACTATGGAACCCTAACAGATCAAATTAGACCAGATATAAAATTATTTGGTAGGGTAACAAATACAGAAAGACCCAGGAATGTCTGCATTTAGGGAAGAATGATTTAATGATTTACTTCAGTCTTAGATAACAGTGTCCTAAGCAATTAAATAACAGTGACAGCGCACAAAAGTCAGAGTTCAATCGTTTTGTCTATTATTACATTTTCTCGGAAATAGTTTGGTGTCAATTGCTATTTGTTAAACTACATTAAAATAGAAGTGTCAGTCATAGTATCTTTTCCCCTACATCCTTCTGAGAGAACCTGCTTCTTTCCATCGGCCGTACCTGGGACACAGGGCTATGTGGCCATGGTTGTTTAGATGTCCTTACCTCCTTGGCCTCAACCAGTCGGCTGAAATCGATACACCTTGTTCAAGGAGAAGCAATCATATTTTCTCTCTCTCAAAAACTTGAACTGAGACAAGTGGATGAGTAAGTTGGTGTCAGAGTCAGGTTAGTGGTGAACTAAAGACCGTGAAGTTCTGCGTGGGAGGTTTGCAGAGGTTCTGCCTGCGAGGTCAGATTCGCCAGCGTTTCAGGAGCAGGCTGTGTACTGTTTTTCCTTGGATTTGCTCGGTGTAAGTGTCTTCACAGTAAATCACACATGTTCTTTAGCTTAGAGTGAATAGGTTTCTGTTTCTTGACACCAGATATGGCCTGAATAAACTGAATTTTGAAAGAAAAGCCTAATATTTTTACCATATAATTGCATAGTTTAAGTAAAAATTACACAGTCTCTTATTAAAGCAGTAATGGTAAAACTAATATGCTCATATATTTTCCAGTAAAGGCACTCTTTACAGATGCCAGTTAGGAACTTTTAAAAGTCCAGAAGCCATGTTAAAAACTGCTGATATCTGTGCTTTCTCTGTATTTTTACATAGCTCTTAAAGTACAAGTTACTTTCTGAAAATTCAGGGAAATTTGAGATGCTTCTACATTGCTTCTACACCATCATAATAAAATGGATAATTTCAAAACCATGACTGACCTTTGCTTGTTTCCTAAGTCAGCACTTCATTTGATGTTGTTGTGAAAAAGACTCTGTCTATGTTAAGGACGCTGGTTTTGTGTGCTGATTCTGTCACTTCCCCTGCCTCTCTTTGTGTGGTCCTCAACCAAAATGTGACCACAAAGAACAATAACTGGATAGGAAATTGAGTGGTGCCCTATACATAGCTGGGCACATGGTGGCCAAGAGGTGGCTGTCCCTCGATATGCAGGGCTTCTTCATGGTAAGATTGAGCTAGATTGGAAAATAGGATTCAGACCAAGAAGCCCAAGCAAAGCTTTTGCTCCATACCCCTTGAATCAGGTTTGTGAATCACATCACCCAGAACCAGGTAGAAAAGCAGGAACAGAGAATACAACCACGAACACACGACACCTTTCAATGTAGTGGCGCTGCCTCTTAGTGATATTCTTCTCATGGGCATCAAGCTCTTACCAATCAGATAATGAGCTTCTTCTCCAACTGGTGAACGTCGAGCAAGGGGCAAGAGAGAGACATAGGCAGAGTTTTCTCCCCTGTGGGGACACATTCAGCCCCATCCCCAGCACAAGCATGAACTATTGTATGTTTGGACCATTATAGGATGACCGGGGTATTCTAGAATAGATCCCCATAGGAGAATAGAACAAATTGATTTTAATCACTGTATCTACTACCGCACATTTTCCTCAAATTAATATAAGATATGGAATTACACTGGGAGGAAAGGATTAGTATTTGCTATTTATTTAAAAATAACACTGATGCCACTTCAAAAATATCTTTCAGGGAGATTTTTTTCAGCTGATGTACTAGCTCTCACAGTAGCCAGTTACATATAATGGACCAACTTGGGAAATCTCAAGTCTGGCTTTCCCATTAGAAGTAATGTGAGGTTATTAAAATTAATTTCCCTGTATTGTTAAAACTATCATAGCAAAGGCATGAGGGAGGGATATTCAGTAGAAAAATTAGAGTATAATTTGGAGGATCATTATGTGAATAAAGTAATTACTGTCTCTGAATGAATTAAGTGTGTATATATTCTTGCAACTGTAGCAGGCGCTGTTAGTTGCTCTCCCCACAGACCTGTCCCCATTCTCTTGACTAATGGAATTCTGATTTTGTTGGGATGGCCAATGGGCCTAACACTGGGGCATGAATACTGATGTATATAATCTAGTCCCACTTGCCAGTGGTTGGTCTAAGGGCAGGCACATGACCCAGTTTTGGACAACGATATGAAAAGAGAAGCCTTCTAGAGGCCTGCATGAGAGAGTGAGTAAGAAAGAGAGAGTGGTGTGCAAGAAAAATCACTTTGGTTCCCACCTAATTCCTTCCTGCTTAAAATGCTGCCCTGCCAAGATGTAATTCTTGCAGTGGGACAACCATTCTGTGGCCATGAGGAGCAATATCACCAGCACGGGAGGGAGGAAACACAGACAGACAGAAGGAGCCTGGCACCTGGGCCTGAGGCCTGGATGATTTCAAAGAGCCTGTGAACCAACCCTGGACCAACTCCAGAATTTCTGCCAAATAAACAATAAGTAACTTTCTGGTATAAGCCCTTGTTGATTATGGTTTCTGCTACTTATAAACAATGACTATATACTTATATACGAGGGTACTTCAAAAAGTTCATAGAAAAATTGAATTAAAGGATAAAGCAAATCCTTCCATAAATTTTTTGAAGGCCTCTCATATATGGCTATATATAAACATAGCCAACACCTATATAACTTGATAGAGAATTATCTTTCAATTACTTGCTGAGGGAAATTAGTAAGAAATATATTAAGATAATTTAAACTGACTTTTTCCACTCAGCCAGGCTCAAAACCTTTATTGCCTCATATTTTTAATATTCTGCCTAATCCCAGTCAGTAAATGCCATTAGCCTAGTTAAAATCCTAGACCAGTGGTTTTTGACCTTAGCATGAGTCAGAATCACCTGTTAAAACATTGCTGGGCCTCGTTTCTAGAGTTTATGATTTAGTGTGTATTAGGTGGGTCCTGAGAATTTACATTTTTAACAGGTTCCCAGGTGCTTCTGAGGCTGCTGATCTGGAGACCATACTTTGACAACCACTGTCCTCGACTATGGGCAATCACCTCCTGAGTCAGCCTCCACCCCAGTTCACTGTTTCCATACTTACACCCCAGATACATGAGTCTGGATTTCACTTTCTTACCACAGCATTCTTCTCCAAACTTACCAGTAGATCATACAGGATTTCTTTATGCCATCTAAACTGGTCACCCATATGCCTATAAGCCTTACATTTGTGCCTCTTTGCTTTGTGCCTTCCCTTTGCCCTGCCTAGAATGTCCTCAAACCTTATGTCATTGAAGCTTATTTAAGTCTGACACAGTGGAGTGGCCTTTCCTCTCTTGGCCAAACCACTATTTCTTTCTTTTTATTTCAGGGATATGAAAATTATGGGTCTCCAAGAGACAGACATAGGATAAAGAGCTTTTTCCTCCCTCTACTCCCCACAAGGTACGAGTGTGAAATAATGTCTTCTAAAACTTCCATTTGCTCCTTTGCTGGACTTAAAGTGAGCATCTTTACTTGAAAATGGTCTTGGCTCAGAGCTGAATGCTTATTTAGTCTGCAGAGGACACAGAAAGGTTACCCAAGTTTGCAACTGAGCTCCTGGAAGCAAAATGGTAACCCTCCCAACAGTGAGCATCTGTTCTGCCCCTCATATTAATTTCTTCTGGGCAGAAATCATGAACCCACAGAGATACCTAACAAGTTTCTCACTTCATTGGTACAAAGAAGCAGAATTTCTACGCAAAGGGGCCATAAGCAAGAGGTTTGCAGAGGGCACACAGTCTCCTTCCTTCTTGTAGGTATGCTACCTATCTCTGGGCAAACAGCCACAAATGTGGCTTGCTCAAGGACAACACACAAGAGTCACATTCAAGCAATGCCATCAAATCAAGTTTTCATCCACACCTCCCAAGATTACCTCCGTATTTGAAAAATCCCAAAATGAGCCCTCAGTCCTCAGGCTGACTTGACCTGTCCACAGCATTTGGTATATGTCTTAGTCCATTCAGGCAGCTGTAACAAAATACCATGGACTAGATGGCTTATAAACAACAGAAATCTATTTCTCATAGTTCTGAAGGCTGGGAAGTCCAAGATCAAGATGCCAGCAGATTCAATGAATGGTGAGAGCCGGTTGTTTCTCAGTTCATAGACAGCACCTTCTCACTGCACCCTCGTACGATGGAAGGGGCAAGGCGGCTCTCTGTGGCCTCTTTCGTAAGGGCACTCATCCCATCCTGCCCTCGTGACCTCATCACCCACCAGAGGTCCTACCTCCTAAAATCATCACACTGGTGGTTAGTTTTCAACATATAAGTTTTGGAGGGACACAAACATTCAAACCATAGCAGCACCGTTGATCATTTCCTTGTCTCTGAAACACTTCACTTGCCTTCCAGGACATGACAATCTCGTGGTTTTCTTCCCACTTCATTTCCATGAAGTGCTCCACTCTTTCTCAGTCTCCTTTGCTAGTTCCTCCTCTTGTACCCTCATCACACTGGAGTGCCCCAAGGATCATTCCTTGGTTATCTTCTCTACCTACATTCATCTATTGATGATCCCATCAAGGCCCATGGCCTTGTCATCTATATGCATCTATAGAGATTTCTAAATTTATATCTCCAGGCCAGTCATTACTTCCAAACCTGCAGCTCCTCTATACTACTTGAAATTTCCACTTACATGGATAACAAGCAAACAAATTAACCTGTCTCAAACTTATCTCTTAATTCCAACATCTCCCACCCCAAACCTGCTTCCACAAATCTCAATAAAGAGGAACTTTATTCCTCCGTCTGTTCAAACCAAAACCCTGTCAGTCATCCTTAACTTCTCTTTCTCTTGCATTCTGTACCCAATCTCAGGAAATCCTGCTAGTTCTACCTTCAAAATATTCTTCTGGATTTACCAGGATCCAATCTTCGCCATTACCCCCTTGGCCAAGCTTCTGCTATTTCTCTTTTTGATTATTGCAGAACCTCCTAAGTGGTCTCTCCTTTCTTTGTCCTTGACCTGTTATAGATGATTCTGAGGATAGTAGCCAAAGTGATGCTTTCTTTTAAAATATGAATCAGATTGTACTTCAGCTACATTCAAAGGCCTACAGAGGTTCTCCACTTCACAGTAAAATCCAAAGTCTTTACAATGGCCTAAAAGACACCGAATCATCTATTCTCACCTCCACATTTTCTCTCTATGGTCTCTTCTCCTACTACTACCTCCCGTGCTCGTCCCACTCTGCTCTAGACACACTGGCCTCTTGGCTGAACCTTATCTCTGCCAGGCCCACTGCCACCCCACCTCAGAGCCTTTGCTCTGGTCATTCCCTCTACCTAGAACACTCTTCCTCTCAGTGACACTTGGCCAACACCTTCACTTCCTTCAAGTCTTTGCCCAAATTTCATTTTGTTAATGAAACTTACACGCACCACGCTATTTAGTACTGCAATCTGCCCCTCTCAGCAGTCTCAAGCCCTCTTATCCTGCTCTAGTATTTGTTTTATCCCACAGCGCTTACAATAATCTAGTATTATTATTGTTTGTTCATATGTTATACTTACTTCGTATTGTTCACCTCCCACACTAGAACAAAAGCTCCACAGTGGCAGGGATGCTCATCTGTTCCTTGATGTTTTCTAAGCACCTAGAATAACGCGTGGCACACACTTGTGATCAATACATGTTTTTGACCCTTCTCTTCTAAATTCCAATAATAGCAATCATTTTTGAAGTATAAAGGAAAAGGAAAACCAGTAAGTCTCTAAGAACAAGAGAGGTAGCATCACCTTGATAAAATCCACCACCAAAGTAAATTCTTTATCTTTGCAGAATCATAAGTGATGTTTGCAGGCACCATAATGTCCCTCATATAACCAAGCTAACAAGACTAATGATAGAACAAGAAAGCCAAGTGATCAATCTTAGATTTAAAA